CTGTTGCTGTTGCTGTTGCTGTTGCTGTTGCTGTTGCTGTTGCTGTTGCTGTTGCTGTTGCTGTTGCTGTTGCTGTTGCTGTTGCTGTTGCTGTTGCTGTTGCTGTTGCTGTTGCTGTTGCTGTTGCTGTTGCTGTTGCTGTTGCTGTTGCTGCTGTTGCTGCTGCTGCTTCTGTTGCTACTGTTGCTGCTGTTGCTGCTGTTGGTGTTGCGGTTGTTGGTTGTTGGTTGTTTGTTGTTTGTTGTTTGTTGCTTGCTGCCAGGCCCCCCCGGTGGCCGGTAATTGGCGTCCCGGCGAAGTGCCGGCAATTGGCCAGCACTTGCAAAAAAATGGTTTTGTTGTCAAATTGATGTGTTGCCACTTCAGTAATCCGAGGGATGGGGTTAGGCTGACATGTATAATCATTGCACACGCGTGCATGTGGATGCCCGGATCTTAATTTGGGTTGTCTCGATTAGGGCTTTCTGGGGCAACCCGGCCCATAGATTTATCCGATTGTGAGCTCTCCCTTCAATTCCACCAGCTGAAGTGGCACAAATGGCCGGGCCGACCAATCTTTTTTTGAGGTGTTCCTCTCAAATGAGCAAAGGGCTTTCTTGAACTGAACCACCCAAATAAAGCGGTTGTCGCATGAAAGCAACATGAATTTTGGGAACCCTTTCAAAGGGCCATCCCCCCATCCCTAACCCACCCCGCTGCGGCTGACATGTTTGTCACCCGGCATTCCGGTCTTGCCGAGCGCACGGTCATTGCAGGGGCCTGGGATGTCAATTGTAGCTTGAGCTGGTGGGTCATTAAATGATTGTTGATTGAAGCTCCCAAGCGCCGGCTGGTTGGTCAATTCCATGATGTACAGTGAAGGGGGCCATTTGACAGCCACAGGGAGCTTGGGTCATATCTATTCCGTTTGGGCTCTTTTGCACTGGCAACACCAGTATGATCAGCACCCCGAATTAGGCATCATCCAAATGACGAAGCCATCTGCAACACACGTAAGCCGCGTATCTGTTCAGCACCTGCCGCCCGAGCCCCATGGGAGAACTGCAACCTTTGCTTAGCCAACGTAACGCAAACGTGCGCAACAAGCCGTGGACTGCGGCTTTGCAACATAATCCTCGTCCAAGTAAGTGGACAAGGCCAACGGATTGGCTCTCGCAGCCAAATCATAGCAAAGATGGTCCACCCTAGGCAATCCCATCAAATCACAATGAATGCACGCACGCACGCAGCGCACGTATGGCACTTCGGCCTCAATTTCCACAAATCTGCTAGTTATCGATTGCTTCCTTTGCCAAGCCTAGGTCAGTCTGACACATGTAGGATGAGTTGGGGTGACAGGCTAGCTAGTTTTATCGATGCAGGCTAGCAACAGTTGAGGCTTGCATGAAGCAAATAGTTGCCTTCCTGAAGGCGACGCACATTCTCCCGCGAGTGGTTCGCGTGGAAGCTGATCGCACCGCATTTCCACCAGCCCCACAAAGAAGGCTGCCGTGATCGTTGCTTGAGCGCGGGAAATTATCCAATGTCACGCGCGCAGGGCCCCTTAGTCAATAGACAAGTAACGCAGCACACTCGTCCCCGGGGTTATGCTGGGCCACTCTGAGGGTGACCATCCGAAGGAACTTGGAAAGCGCCACCGCTTCCTAGGATCGTTTAAGGCCGCTCACCACCAAGAAATACAGGCCCCAACCACTCCATTGAAGTGCCCGCTTCTTGGATTGTTTGCCGTCAGATGTTTCCTTCGCTTGCGGACCAAGGAAGGGATGGGCGCGAGCACAGTGTCGCTTCAACGGTCACACGCGCAGGTTGCTCCAAGGCACAAACTAAATACCTGGCCCCGGTTTCCTTATCTGAACCCAACCAGCAAATCACAACTAACACATTCACATACCACCTAACACAAACAACTAGGATCTGATCTTGTTTTGCCGGCAGTGCTGTGTGAACTCCACGTGCGCCATACGAAGGCGCTCGTCCGGGCTGCGGCCAATCAGACATCAGTCCCAAATTGCGAGGACGCATAAACCTATCTTTCCCAGCCTGGCCAAACAGCTAAAGTTTCTGTGAGCTCAACAAGTGCCTCAATTTGATCCTTCATCATTGGCCAACCCCTTCAAATGCATATGCATATATACCAAGAGGCAGAGGCCGCACAGTCTGGGATCACCGCCAGGTCCACTACGTGGAGGTAGTTGCGCCAGAAGGCTCACGTCGAAGCCCGGGATGCAAGCAAAGCTGTTGGGCGGCGCACTGTCTGCACAAACTTGTCCGTTGACAACCCATCAAAGGGGGCTCAATGGTATGCTTGGAATGGGCAAAGCCCTTGGTCCTGGGGGCTGTGCTCGAGCAGGGCGTCGGCAAGGGCTGCAGCAGCTTGGAAGAAGTGCCACCATTGCATTGGGGCTAAAGCGGCTGTCAAGACCTACAAACTACAAAAATCCTTCGTATGTGATGCGTCGCTGCTTGCCATGCTATGCCATGTCCGGCCATGCCTGTTGCTGTCTTGCCTGAAGGAATGCGTTGTCCGCAAAACCTAGGTAGATCCTTGGTGTGTGATGCCATGTTATGCCATGTCCGGCCATGCCTGTTTTGTGTTTCTGAGGTTCTTGGTATGTGACTGACAACAACCCGCAAACACACAAACAGGCATCCACACAAACACAAAAACCGAAAAACACACAAAACACAATCACTCAAACACACACCCGCAGACACAGACACACACACACACACACACACAAACGCAAGCGCAAACACAAGCACACAACACAGCGCAACACACCACAACACACGACACACAACACACAACACACCACAACACAACACACACACACACACCGCGCACACACACACACACACCGCACACACACACACACACAACGCACACACACACACACACAACACACACACACAAACAGCAGACAAACACAACACAACACACACACACACAAAACGCACACGCACACCCACACGCACACGCATGCGTGCACGCGTGCATGGGTGCTTCTTTGAAAACACATTGTTTAATGTTTGCAAATGTTCTGTATCCGTCAATCTGTGCACTTGAGACACTAAACATGCAAATATCGGCACACCAATCCCAGGCGCCGCTTAACCTGACACTGAGTCACGTCGCCATTGTCACCTGGGTCTGCATCAAGACAATGTGCTCGTTGTTGAGCGATCATTCCTACATGAAAACCAAGCAGAAAGCTGGCTGCGAGCGATGTGTGCCGCCCATGACTTGAAACAGATCCAGTTGATTCGTTTCAGGTATCGGTATAGGTCCTCAACCTCAGCCGACTTGAACTGGAGTGCGGAGTGCAGAGCCACCGCCGGCCTTCAGTCAAGACGGATAAATCAGGCTCTTGGACTGGTCCACCTTGGGGCAAGAGCTTCAGGGTCCGCAGACCGGTCCACCTTGCGAGGAATGCTAAACCCCTAAGCCCCCAAACTCCAAGCCCCCAACCCCAAAACCCGCACACCCTACATTACATCCTTCCACTTTCTGCTGCACGGTTGAGACTGGACAAAAAGTCCCTGAAAATCGAAAGGACATGCCTGGGGGAGGAGAGACCCCCACACATGGACTGCAAAGGTGCTGTCAGAATCGGTGAACGGTGCTCTGCCACGGTCTGGGCGAGTGCATTTCAGCATATTTGCTTCTCTGTTGCGTTTTCGGCTGGACACGCACAGCTGCGAGAGGGATACGCCTGAAAGGTCTTTCAGATGAGAGGCTGCTGGTGATGATCAGGAGCGCTGGGCTGGGGATGGAGGACACCCTGATGTTCCTTCTTGTCCCTGTGCTTCTGGTTATCCGGGTTATCCTTGTAACCCTTGCAAGCCTGGGCGCAAGCAACCCTGGGGGCAACCCTGCAACATCTGCAACCATTGCCTTGCAAGATGCAGCTTTCCCGACCAATGCAGTTGCCTAGAAAGACTTGCCTACTACTCTATTCTTTTCTTTCTTTTATTAATATTTGGCTTACTTTATGAGAAGTCTTTTGTCCCGTCTTTCGGCTATTCTTCATGTCATTCACTACTTCCCTTCGGTCACATCTTAATCCGTTCCCTAACCCAGCTTCAGCTAGGATACAAATGTTGGGATTTGTTACTTGTTGTGGTGTTGTTGTTGATGGTGTTGGTGTTGTTGTTGTTGTGGTTGTTGTTGTCGTTATTGTTGTTGTTGCTGTTGTTCTTGTTATTGTTATTGTTCTTGTTGTTGTTCTTGCTGCTGTTGTTGTTGTTGTGGTTCTTATTTTTCTTGTTGTTGTTGTTCTTGTTGTTCTTGTTGTTTTGTTGTTTTTGGTGTTTGTTGTCTTTGTTGTTTTTGTTGTGTTTGTTGTTTTTGTTGTTGTTGTTTTTGTTGTTGTTGTTGTTGTTGTTGTTGTTGTTGTTGTTGTTGTTGTTGCGGTTGTTGTCGTTCTTGTTGTTGTTGTTGTTGTTGTGGTTGCGGTTGTGGTTATGGTTGTTGTTGTTGTTGTTGTTGCTGTTGTTGTGTTGCTTGTTGCTGTTGCTGTTGTTGTGTTTTTGTTGTTGTTGTTGTTGTTCTTGTTGTTGTTGTTGTTGTTGTTGTTGTTGTTGTTGTTGTTGTTGTTGTTGTTGTTGTTGTTGTTGTTGTTGTTGTTGTTGTTGTTGTTGTTGTTGTTGTTGTTGTTGTTGTTGTCGTTCTTGTTGTTGTTGTTGTTGTTGATGATGATGTTGTTGTTGTTGTGGCGGTGGTGGTGGTGGTTGTGGTTGTTGTGGTTGTTGTGGTTGTTGGTGGTTGGTGTTTGGTGTTTGGTGTTGGTGGTGTTGGTGTCCCTGTTGGTGCTGTTGGTGCCGTTGGTGCTGCTGGTGCTGTTTGTTCTGCTGGTGCTGTTGCTGCTGTTGGTGTTGGTGTTGATGTCGCGGCTGCTTTGGAAGGGCAACGGAACTTCTGTCCTGACCGCGGCAATTTCCAGCTTGGACTGGGGACGTTGTCCGTAGCCTTTGTTTCGGATCACACAGGGCTACCCGAGGCACTGTGCAGTCGGAGGAGGCAGATGATGAACCCCTTCTGCTAGGAACCGCCGCTTCCGCCACGTGTTTGGGACGTCGGTAAGCTGGCCGTCAATGGTAACACCGGGCCTTGAGCCTCCCACAAATTCATATTGATTGCTTGCCAAAAAGCAAGCGCTGGCAGCAAGCGCTGGCAGCAACCAGATGCGCACTTGACCTGCAATATTCGATTTGGAAGGCACGGGACGCCCATGCACGTCCGCATTGTTCAGTGATTGAAGGGCATCTTCAGCAAACTGACAAGGTGACATACTGCTGCCTATTGAACAGCTTGGTGCGTTTTTCTCGCATGCGCTTGGCGGGGCAGCAGTCGGCCAGGACGTGAAACGGATGAGGACCGAGCAGGGAATGTGTTTGGAGTCGAGCAAGGCCGTAGTGTTTTTGTTGGATTATGTCCCTTTAGGTGTTTTGTTTGTTTTTGTTTTTTTGTGTTGCCATTTTGATTAGCTACATAGTTGTCGATGTAGGTGAGGTGATCGTTTGGTATGCCCCAACTGGAACATGTTGCGTTGCTTCAGCTTCGCAACTGCAAACTCTAGGCGTAGATAAATGATTCGCGACTCGATGGTTTCATTTCGAGGGTGGTCAAGGCAGTGTGCCTCGGAACACGTCAAGTCCTGGTTGCCCATACTCGACTTCACTCGTCAAGCATATCATTCCGAAAGGGTTCCAAAGGAAACTGTTGCTATTGTAAGACCTCCAAATCCCCCGGTTCAAATCCGATTTTGAGGGGTGTTTTGAAGGAAAGAACGAACCGATTTTGGCGCTTCAGCCACGTTCTCGAGGAAACGGCGCCAGCTTTGGCCGTCGAGCCGCGGGCTGAAGGCTCGGAGACTGGAAAAGATGGCAGCGGGTTCTGGGTGACCAGCACTTTGATTTGACCAACGGGTTCTCTCAGATTTGTACTTTGCTTTCTTCTTGGCTTCGTGTCTTAAATTTTTGCCAAAGATTCCCACTAAGGCAGACTCTAAGCTGAGACAACCAGTTCTGGCATTTCAGTGCAGGCCATTGCAACATGTTAGGTGAGAGTGTGGTGATCCCCCTGCTTCAGCACGTCCCAGATCAGCAGGCGCTTTCGCCAGCTGCTTTCCAAGTCACAGGCGATTGACAGAATGCGATTTGAACACAACATTTCCTTGTTGCATGGCCACTGGCTCTAAAATGGTTAATAAGCAGCGCAATCAGCACCTCGAATGGCTTGATCATGTTTGAACAGTTGGGGAGCCACATGCCTCGGGCACAGTCCTTTGCTTCTTTTGAAGCTACTTTTTAGGAAACTGCATGGGTGCTACTTAACATGTGCTTGATCCATTCTGCGGGAAACCACGAGGGCATGAAGAAGGGGTTGGTTAAAAGGGAGACCAAAGGAAACCATCTATAAAATAGGCGTCTCACCCATCGAAACAGAGGGGGACAAAAAGGTCAATGCTGGATGGAAAAACGTGTTTTTTCAACCAACAGGCTGCACAAATGGCCGCGTGCGTGTGGCTCCCAACGTGCACAAAGGAACGCCTACTGCAAGAGGGGTCTTTCGTGCAGATTCGATTCCTCAAGGTGCAAAGTATCTAGCCTGTTCTGCGCAGTGTTTGGCTGTGCGTGTGTGTACAGCTTTCTCGGGGACTGGCAAACAGAAGTAGGTTAGGAAAGATTTGGAAGGGTCGATCCTTCGTGTTCACTTCCACTTAGGAGGGATCGGCCTTTGACGCATGTGCAAAGTTTCAGACACTTGGTTGCTCAGAGGTTCACACTCAATGAATTAGACAGCCGAAGCTCCTGTTGAGGAAACCAAAATGAAGCCAAGCATTCTTTTGCTTGTTGCATGACCCCTTTCCAACCATACATGGTTTATTCCTCTGCGTCATTTCGCAGGGGCTGGCATTGATGCGCATCCATATTGACTGGCCCCTCCAAAATGGGTGGTTCTTCTTGGGTTGCCCCTAAAACAACAAAGGGGGCACGCGCAAAAGACAGCGATCGATCTGCTAGGAGGAGCTGGCGAAATTCCTGGAGACCGAAACCAGCGCAGAGGAGAGCCCAAAGCCGGCGCCCAAAGAGGCAGGCTGAGGGGAATCGTTCCATCCGGCCGTAGTACCCCCAATAAATTACCCTCCCCTACTACGTGTTCCCTTTGTCAGTACAAAAGCATCAACGCAGGGGCGCGGTTTCCGCCATTTTGAGGGTCAACTTTTTGCAAACCTGTAGTTTCAAAAGGCTAGAAGTTTATGGGTTCCTGGTTGTTGGGGCCAGAAACCAACGTTCAACACCGAGTTTACAAGCGAGACTCAGGCACTTGTAGCTTCACGGGGCTATTTGAACCTCAATCTGACACTTCTCGCCTGAGCACTTGCGGGATTGCAGCAAATAGATCCTCAAGCAATGACAGTCGTCAGAATCCGTATTACGGATGTATGTTTGCTTGAATGATGGATAAATTTGGAATGCAGGTTTGTCAATTGTGTAGGTCTCCGCTTTGCCGGAGGTTTCTACCATGTCCTCGTTCCAAAGCTTTTGCGCTCCAGGCTCAGCGGCCGAGGCTGGGCGGTCCACCTCCCCAGGGCGGGGGTCAAACCAGGGTCCTTGGCTTGAAACGAACTCCACAGGAAGTCAAGGCAAACATTTCGGAGAGTTCCGGACGGCGCATTCCCACCATGTGTTGGCCTGCAAGACCCAGCCATAGTGCCAAGGGCAACCTCCTCGTTCCTGGTTGCGGTGATTCGTATGGCTGACACTTTTCATTTGACCCTCAAGTGGTCTTGTTGAGAATTGTGGAACGCTTGAACTTGGATATAGCTAAGTCAAGCAGGACAACTGCTGAGCCCTGATTCATGGATCACATGTGCTGTCAGAAGATCTTGGGGTTTTTGCCGGGATCAGCCGGTTGCGACCACTTTCAGCCATAGGATTCCAATCTCAGGAGATGTTCGTCATTAAACAGGTGGAGTCAACAGATGGCGTCGGATCCCAAGCCCAGCTCCCGGTTTGAGCCCAGGAAGGCGAGACCGGCCGTCTCCAAGGAGTCGGAAAATAGGTCGAGTGGGTCAGGCCGGTAGTCAGGAGGAGTGCCCAATAAGTTGAAGATGTTGCGACCTTGCGGATGCGAAGGCCAGTAGACAGCCACATACCTGTGAGCACGACTGCACGCATGAAATGCTGAGGCAACTCGACGTGCATTCGGGAAGTCCGTGATTGCTGGGCATCCTTGGGCCATCCGATGCATAGGGATGCAATGGGCTGATTCCTTGGAGGCCCTAGAGGATGTACATGAGTACATCTCCAATCTGGCTCTGCCAGCATAAGCTTGTTTTTGCAATCACTGGCAGGCACCCAGCCCAATCATTGAGTAAGCCCTTTGTGAGTTGAGGTTCCGACCTCGAAGCTTAAAGCCTTTCACGTGCAGGAGAAGTCTGTCGTCCAGATCGCTCCTGCTGGCAAGGCGTCCCATCGAACCGCGGGTCGGTATGGCTTGAGCAGCATGATGCGGCCGCGCTCAATCCGCAGTTGTGATCCAAGAAATGCGAAATGCTCGAAATTGCCACATGAGTTCAACATCTTTGTTCATTGTCCCTAGAGCAACATGAATCTTGCCATGCTAAAGTTTTAAAGTGATGTTCCTGTAGTCCTGTTTGATTTTATTCAGGAGCCACAGGGGATGACTAGCGTGGCGCATCAAATATCACAACGTGGCTTGTCAGACACTGGAGGCTTGCTTGTTGGACCACAGATGGCCACATGCATCTCATGTCAACAAACCTGCCAGGCCTTCCTCCTATCCGCCATGCTGCAGCCGGAGCCCAGAGGGTGTGGGGGACAAGGCGCGAGCCTTCCATTCCCCTAGCCATCGGAAGTTGGACAGGCTTCCGAAAGAGAATGGCGGAGAATACATGATGAGCAAGCACATGGCCAGACAAAGACGACAAGCACATCTCTTGACATAGACTTCCTATGGCTTTTCTGGGATTGATTGCTGCATCCTGACTGTTTGCGCGGTACACGCGAGAGGGAGCTCCTACATAAACATCCTGTATTTGGCCAGACACACAACGATGCCATGGAATGTCATCTTTTGTCGCGGTGAATGCCACCCCGGATAAGTAGCATTCTGAAACACGTGGAACCCAACAAAAACATAGAAGAACATTCCTTTTGGGGACCCAAGAACGGGGTTACTTGTCACTTTGCGGAATACAATGAAGTGACAAAGTTGTTGCCCTACCATCCCAAGGTGGCGCATGGTGCGGCCGACGGAAGCACCGCAGTGGTGCCCAGTGCTATGCTGAAACTCACTCGATAGTTCTGAAAAGATTGGGGGACCTTGTATCCCTTTATTCCCCCTACGTGGCTTGGCTCCAACCGTTTAAAAGGTTTCGGCAGCTCGATCAATCCTGATGATGATAAGTAGTCCTGCGCGGTGTCCTATAGAGCCTCTGCGAGAGCCCAAAGCGCAGGCCGCGAAAGCCCCCGCAAAGGCAAACCTGGAGAAACAATGCCCGCCGACATGTTGTGCGAAGATCTCAAAGGGCGTTGTGTTGGTGACTCGCGAAATGTTGGAGCCAAATCCACGGTCTGTTGAGTCGAAAGCATCGCAGATGCAACGAGCCTTTTCCTGACGCTTGACCGATGGGAAGAACTGCACGGTTCAGTGTTGGACGACTAGGTCGACTGTTGCTGCTTGCTGATGCGGTTTTAAAATAGGCAACCGGCTGAATACTGTTTGGGGCAGTCAGTGACCACATCACAACGTGCTTGCCTCCGTACTCTGCCGAAAAACCAACATCAAGCCTTTTGTGGAATCAATCCTGTTTTGCAAGGTTGAGTTTGAAGGCCACGTCCTGTTACCCTCCCTCATGTTCCCATGGCACCTGACAGAGGGACCCTTGAAGAGGAAGCTTCCAGGCACCCTCCCACAAATGCTGTTAGTGGAAGGAGGTAAAGGAAGAATCTTTGTTCCTCCTTAGCCGTCCAGCGCCCGAGACATGGTTCGCACTTGCCACCCGTTACGCTCGCGTAGGCAAGACGTTGGCTGGGCCAGCCCCCCAGGGTCCTTGCCATGCGGCTTGCGCGAGCGTGGAAACGATAGCCGCCACGGATTATGTGTAAAAAACACAAAAGAATGCGGCTGCTGTTCTTTTTCTTTGTTTTCCGAATTCGATGCTTCAATGCCTCTCTTATAGAGGACTTGACCAGTTGTGAGACACACTGAAGAGCTCTTGCTCCGAAGAGTGCTTTCTAATTTGAGGTGCTTCCCCAAGCGTTATGGTCCTACGCTGCATGGCGAGCGCCCTCAAAAAGGTTAGTGTCATTGCCATCTGAATGTCCGCAGCGCAAATTATTGTAAATTCTCAAGTAAAACCACTGCACCCTGTTTACCGGGAGCTCTTGAAGAAAAGAGAAAAGGACCTGCAAAACAGGAGCTGCCGCTGAAGAACCTGCGCGTTTGGGTGAAGCTCCTTGAAGGTGGCCGATTCGGCATGCGCTTTGCTCACGGGAGAGAAATCCGCGGAGGGAGTCTGGAGGGTTTGCGACCAAACTTTTGGCGCCTTTTGAACAACTTTTTGGGGGAGATCTTTGGGAACACAAAAGAGGAGTTTGTTTAACGCTTTTGCCATGGCACTTCTGGGCGTTGCTGTTGCATGCAGCGGAGAGCCATTTTTTTCATGATACTAAACTCTCTACCAGATGATTGGTGCGGAAGTTGAAAGGGCTTGCTAGGCTGCTTTGGATGCCACCACTGCTTGACAGGAAATGTGTTTTTTTCTTGCACGCAGATCTGTGTTTCGCGGTCATCCAGGAGGCAGCTGGCCGCAATTGTCCTTCAGATCAACGCAAGGGTCAGGTCCGAATCTCAGATTTCTGTTGAACCGGCAGCATGTGTCTGGATCCACGCCTGGATCATCTTATGATACATGACATCTTACTGTTCAGCATGTTTTGCACAGGCAGGCGTGCTCTCACCATGCCAGAGAATGACAACTTTCTGCGTCCGGAGCGGGCTCGTTGTCCTGCTACACAAGGAAGTGGTGGTATTTGTTTTACGTTTGCTGTTGCTGGTTCGAGCAGGCAATGAAACAGTATATGGCTAATGATGGCGTTTGTCAAGACGCACGGCAGCTCATGCCGGATCAACTGTGCCAAGAGGGAAAACCGTTGGTGGCTGGCGCAATACCCAGAAGAACAACCTCCCACCGATAAACACGGAGGCCAAGCTTTACCCGAAACCGCTTCCAACCACCTTGTGCAGATGTTGAACAACTCCAGCCATTTCGGCTTCAGCCCTGACTTCCTCAGATCGTGCGAGATTCTAGCAAATGCATCTGAGACAATGGAGGTGGCCGTCGCTGCCTCATTTTTCCTGATGGACCACCGCAACCGTATTCCTGGTTGCCTAAGCTCTGAGTGAGCCACAATGAATTATGATGCGGAAGCTGTTGCTCAATCTAACCACAGCGCAGCATTTGACGATTTAACCTGCTCATGAGAGCGTGTAAAACCTAATGGCTCCGGAATTGCCTCTGTTTCGGGCGCCAGCTGTGGACATCGGTACCCAAGCCCCTAGCCCAAACACAAAAGATGCCACTGCCACAAGGCCATATTCTCCTGCGACAACACTGGCCTGGCACACACACACACACACACAGAGAGAGAGCGTCAGGGACAACTGATAGAGAGCTCCAGCAGCGGAAGTGAAGCGGGGCAAAAGATGCGTGCAGCTGTGGGAAACCAGATGCCTTCTTGCGGCGCACGAGCGCTCCGATGCGAGGAATCACTGCTACCTTTGGAGCCGACAGGCGACCGGAAGGGGGCTGGGCAGGTCGCGAGTCTAGATGCAGCTGCATGTGGATCTGCGAAAACAGATGCCCGAGATGTATGGGAGCACACAAACAAGACAAGAAATCTAAGATGAACGCAGTTGTTTCATGCATGGTAGACTAAATGGTTACTTCTTTCATCTGGCTTCAAGATGTCGTGTTTGATTGTCAGAAAATTGAATCCAGGTGCCTCCAAGCTCCAAGCAACTGGGCTCCTAGCCAATAGAAAGCGTGACTCTCGCCAAGACGAGTTAGGGATCACCGAGCGAAGTCAAGCCCCTGCCAGAGTTGACGGTAGGCGTTGCACGCTGGTGGGCGAGCAGACAGTGAGGCTGGGCATTTGCCAAGCATTGTGGATCAATTCGCAGCACAAACCTGAAAGCATGGAAACGCCTTCGGTGTCCCTTGCGGTGTTTCTTTGTTTCAGTCCAAGGGGACCTCCAGCAAACGGCATAAGCACAGCAAACTACAGTCGACTGGTGTATTTTTTTGCGTGTGTGTGTGTGTGTGTGTGTGTGTGCGTGTGTGCGTGTGCGTGTGCGTGTGCGTGTGCGTGTGCGTGTGCGTGTGCGTGTGCGTGTGCGTGCGTGCGTGTGCGTGCGCGTGCGTGTGCGCGTGCGCGCGCGCGTGCGCTGCGTGCGCGTGCGCGTGCGCGTGGGCGTGGGCGTGGGCGTGTTGTGTGGGTGTGTGGTGTGGGTGTGTGGTGGCGTGTGTGGGTGTGCGCGTGTGTGGGGGTGTGTGTGTGTGTGTTGGGGTGTGGGGGTGTGTGGGGTGTGTGGTGTGGGGGTGTGGGTGTGTGGTGTGTGGGGGTGTGTGTGTGTGTGTGTGTGAGTGTGTGTGAGTGTGTGTGAGTGTGTGTGAGTGTGTGTGAGTGTGTGTGAGTGTGTGTGAGTGTGTGTGAGTGTGTGTGTGTGTGAGTGTGTGTGTGTGTGTGTGTGTGTGTGTGTGTGTGTGTGTGTGTGTGTGTGTGTGTGTGTGTGTGTGTGTGTGTGTGTGTGTGTGTGTGTGTGTGTGTGTGTGTGTGTGTGTGTGTGTGTGTGTGTGTGTGTGTGTGTGTGTGTGTGTGTGTGTGTGTGTGTGTGTGTGTGTGTGTGTGTGTGTGTGTGTGTGTGTGTGTGTGTGTGTGTGTGTGTGTGTGTGTGTGTGTGTGTGTGTGTGTGTGTGTGTGTGTGTGTGTGTGTGTGTGTGTGTGTGTGTGTGTGTGTGTGTGTGTGTGTGTGTGTGTGTGTGTGTGTGTGTGTGTGTGTGTGTGTGTGTGTGTGTGTGTGTGTGTGTGTGTGTGTGTGTGTGTGTGTGTGTGTGTGTGTGTGTGTGTGTGTGTGTGTGTGTGTGTGTGTGTGTGTGTGTGTGTGTGTGTGTGTGTGTGTGTGTGTGTGTGTGTGTGTGTGTGTGTGTGTGTGTGTGTGTGTGTGTGTGTGTGTGTGTGTGTGTGTGTGTGTGTGTGTGTGTGTGTGTGTGTGTGTGTGTGTGTGTGTGTGTGTGTGTGTGTGTGTGTGTGTGTGTGTGTGTGTGTGTGTGTGTGTGTGTGTGTGTGTGTGTGTGTGTGTGTGTGTGTGTGTGTGTGTGTGTGTGTGTGTGTGTGTGTGTGTGTGTGTGTGTGTGTGCGCTTCAGAACAAGTGTTTATGCGAGCCATGCGATCCCCTGGCAACAGCAACTAGAAGCAAGCCAGATCAGCATCTCCATTTATGAACTGCAAGAGCGGCAGCCGCGGCAACAACAGCCGCCGCAGCAGCAGCAGCCGCAGCGGCAGCGGCAGCGGCAGCGGCAGCGGCGGGGGCGATACCTAAGGAGGTATATAAGAGCAAAACACACCATGGACAAAGGACTGGAACCGTATTTGTAAAACAGCACATCATGCTGTGACTGTGAGGGCTTCCCAAAAGCGCCTGCATGCAGCTAGACGTGGCTTCGAGATGACAGACCTTGCTGCAGTGTTGTTTTAAAGCTTGATTGTTAGCTTCTTACACGGCACTGCTCCAAGTTGTTGCAAATCAAAGAATGCACAGGTTGAGACTGCAAATCAACAGAGCAGTCCGTCGGCAAGGCCTTTGCAAACCTTCTGTAGCTTTTTGCAACCGACGTCAACGGCGATATGGACGCTGCTCAACATGCAGTAACCTGTTTGGCAGGTCAGAGGCAATCAACACGACAGAGCCTATGGCTTAGCTCACTGCGTGGGTTGGGTCAGGCAAGGGCGCTCGCACGCTCGATTTAATGGGCGGAGAAGCTTCTGGACGTTTTATCCATAGTCAATGCTGGCAAAAGCTCCGATTCTTTGCTTGCCTCGCCCGTTGATGCTGCTAGACGGCGGTTCCTCAGAAAAACTTGATCGGGAATGTGCCAGAGACTGACAGACCCTGAGGTGCTGTTTTCAGCTCCGGGTGTTCGGCACGGGCAAGTGCGAGTTTAGCCTGGGCGGCTGGCGGGGCTCCCAGGCTGTGTGGGCAGTGTCTCTTTCTTTGGGAGCTGCAACGGGAGCCTAGCAAGTCGTCTGTTTCTTCTGAGTTTGCCTGTGCTTGATGGCATCCTGCACGGGATTCTCCGTATTTTGAGCTACCGGCATATCCCCACCGGGGATCGAAAAGTGCATTTGCGAGATACATTGGCTTCATTGCATCCACATGTCCAATATCTCCATACCCCGGTCATCCAGTCTCAGAATGTATTTCAGAGCGAAGCTCACCGTGTACGACCTTGCCCTTGCACCAACTGGCAGAGAAAGCAAATATGGGTTTTGTGCTACAGAGTTTCTTCCCACATGCTTCAGCTCCTTGCTCGCCAGGATCACGGCCAAATGCCGCCGCCGCCGTTTTTTGCTCGCAACAGTTGAACCCACCGGCCGTCTCATGGCGCGGGCGCTGAGCGAGGCCCAGTTCAGCGGCTCCCTGTTCACCTTTTTTTGCCGGTGGGTTCCCAGCCCCCGAAAAGGGCGACCTTATGATATTGGTTCTTCTCAGTTTTGTCAAGAAATGTTTGATTGTTTTGCTTGTTTGTGTGTTTCACCGCAGAATGCCTGCAGATGGCTGATTGCTCGCAAAAATTGGGGTCGCTAGAGCGCTCATTTGAAAAAGTGCGGATCCGCGGATCCATCACACTTCTTCCCCTGCACCCTGAGTTTCACAAGTTCTCATGTGATGCGTCTTGGTGATGACCTGTGTTGCCCCCCCGAATCATGAACAGTCACCCCATCTGGGACCGCGCCGCGTCGGAGATGGTTGAACTACCATCTCTGCATTTGCTTTCGTGGTCCGGGACCAGTTACGGAATGTCGGGTACGGCCTCATATCACGTGGACTTTCTTCTTTTTCCATTAGAAACTCTTGGTTTTGGTCCAGGAATTGTCAGGCCCCCTAGCTTTGAAGCCTTGGATTCGATTCCTCAAGAAGCGGGCAAAGCTTTTCGGCCAGGTCATCGATGACTTGGGCGTTCCTTGGAGACAAGTCTCGGAGCTGGACATCCCCAGAATTTGCGCTGATTTGTTGGGCAACTTTTGTTGGGCCATACGAGCCGTTGCGGGTCTGTCCGAAACGGGAGGCCCGAATGGCGTTTGAAGCGAAGCTAGAGGCAACCAGACAGGAGACTTTCGATCCCATGGCCGTCACAGCATGTGATGATGCTACGGTGGATTTCCCAAGCAACTGCAGGCACGGCAGCTGCACACGATTGTCAACTACGGCTAATCTAAGTGTTGTCCCCTGCTGGCTCTACCGCCAGTATTTGGGATATTGCACATGTCAAGGAGTCGAACCCTTTACCCGTCAACATGGTCGCACTGTGGCATCCAGCGATGGAAGATCACTGGGATGCGTGGGTTTGTGACGATTGGGAGCCCTTTTTTGGAGATTGTCTTCAACAGAAAGAGAAAACGTAGCAAGCCATTTGAAACTATGGACCCACCTCACCGAAGCAGCTAGCACAACCATACAAGGAGGAGCCATGTATGATTTTGACCCGAGCAGCGTTGAGCTAGCTGGGGCTGCCTTTTGGAGCTAGTGGACAGCTTTGGATGACTTGCCAAAAAAGGGAGACCGCCCCTTTTCGCCGGGTCTCCGATGTTTTTTTGGACATGCGCAGCTGCCGTTTGCGCCCAGGTTGGTTGGTATCACGCCCTGGTGGTGCTTTTTTGCTCGGGATTGATGCTGGCAGATGGCGCCGAGATGCTGAAGCTCGGCGAAAGTGAGAGGAAGCAGCTGGCCTCAAAACGCTTCGATTCTGCAAACGGCCAAGACCGGGCTCTGTACAAAAACGGGACTGAATCACAGTTGAAATAACACAACGGTGATGTCAAAACTATCCCACAAAGGGAACTGTAGCAAATGCAAAGCAGTCCCGAATATGCGGACACCCCCCAAATCAGCGGTCACAGCGGCAATGTCTTAATATGTGCAAAATCCTTCGATCACTTTTCTTGCAGAGCGTTGGTCAATGTTTCCCTGGCCCAGCGTGAGTTGCCCTCGCCAGGGGCTTGGAATAGATATTGCAGTAGAGCCCGGACGAGCCGGGCCAGAAGTTTCCATGCCTACAGAAGCAACACGGTAAACTTCCTCGCTGCAGCAAGACACAACGCTCACTTGATCCCTTTGTCACGATCGCAAATGAAACTCGGCAACACTCAGCACGGCGTCGTCCGCAAAGACGCAGCCTTGAACCAGTCTTTGGGAGTTGGGCAGCGCATGGCAGCGCGGAAAGGCGAAGGCGCGCGAGGTCCGCAGAAGCACACTCGTGTGCTCACTTGACCAGAGGCCGGCGCTGACTTGGGCACTCCCGACGAGTAGCGAGGCAACAGGAAGGCGTGAGCTGGGCAGTGTCGCTTTGGGGCGTGCTCGCGGCAACGTCCTCACATAGCGAGTAAGATGGAGCACATGCAACAGTCGATCAACACACAGCGTCATGTCTTATTTGTAATGTTCAATTCGCCGGAGCAACCCTCTGCCGATTTTCGGCTGGTCGACCTTCAAGACTAGTTTTTCCGCATTCGTTCGGCTTGTGAACCCTCCGAGGAAAGAAGGAATAACTAATGGTAGTCGGGGGTGTTAGAGAGGCGCAGATTTCGTGGCAAGGGCAGCACTGGTAGGTTGTGGGTCACAAGAAGGAACGTTGCATTTGCACCGTGCACTGTTTCGTTGTCTAGTCAATTCTGAGGCGTGCTGGTTCGGTTATCTGTACTTGGGCTATGTCTCTGCTTGACTCTGTCTTTGCACTACACTCGCTTTACTTTGTCGTTGCTTGGTTGGTCTCATGTCAGTCATCCGCCAATCGGAATGTGTTTCATCTAAACTTCCTTTGGTCAGCACTATTCCGCCAATTCAACATGACCTTCCCTGGGCAGGGGGCAAAATTCCAAGCCGAAGTCCGTGACCTTTCCTACCGCTCTGAGGATGGTCTCCTCCATCGTTGGAGCGCTGGACGGGGACCTGGAAGCGGGGAAGATCACCCGTGGCCTTCTGGTGCCCGGGGCCCAGCTCGGAGCTCGCAGCACTTGGCTGATGAAAAACCAACCGGGGGCGTCGTCGAATCAAACCCCCCATGTTTCAAAAGCAACGCGGTTTTACTCGAAAAAGCTATGTGGTTCCTTCGTGCCTCTGAAAACGTAGACTGATCCCACTTAACAATGGCTTTGCATTTACAGGTGTGTGCCGTATTTCAAACCAAGGGGCACAAGGACAACCTCGGCACGTGTTACTTGAACTCGCAATTCGCAGGTTGGTTACGGTGCAACGCCAACATCAAACGCCTTGGCGTGATGTGTTGGTGATGATTCATGGATGTTGCTGTGTTTTCCTTACTGACACGTCAAGCTGCTTTCGGCATACAGATTGCAAAGGCAAAACCCTGCTGAAGAAAGCCTGGCGCAAACATCATCAGCGGGACCACGGTTAGTAGGTTCAATACTTGTCATGTGTTGTGTCGAGCCTGGGAGCATTGAGCGAAATACGAAAGCAACACGCGCGCAAGCAATCACGTGGAGCAAGCAAGCCACCAAGCAAACAATATTAAGCAATCAAGCAAGCAGGCAAGCAAGCAAAACAAGCAAGAAAGCAAGCAAACAAGCAGGTACCATCATGAAATCAAAGAAACAAAAAAACAAAGCGAACGAACGAAGAAACGTGCAACCAAACAACCAAGTAACCAGCTAAACAAAGGAGGCCAAAGACAAGCAAGCTGTCAAGCAAAGAAATATACACATGGACAGAGGAACAAGATGCTAGCCTTCAAGGTCCACCAGCTTCTTGGGCATGCTCCTCGGGAACTTGCTGAGCGGTTCCGTGAGTGGCAGGCAGGACATGTTTGGGAAGCCCAGAGAAAATCCACATCCCCAGCCCCAGAACCCTCCAACCTGCAAAAGCCGGGGGCCGCAGCTAAGACTCAACCTCAGTGAAACAGGAATCAGCGCGAAACCCAACGGCAATCTCTCTCACAAATTTGTAGGGGTCCCATATTTTGGAGAAGGATATGCCTCTTCAGGGCTGTAGGTTTTATGATCGTGCTTGAGGCTTGGCTCAAAACCGCCCGCCGAGCCACGAAGTTTGATGCCTTCAGCTGCGAGTTTGATATGCCAGTTCCTGTGGAAGCCGTGCAGGTATGGTCGATGGTGCGCTTGCATGACGTCGACTGTACTCCTGAGCTTCTTTGGCTTGCTGTGCTCGCAGCTTGGGCGATAGAAGCCGTTAGTTTCATCAGTGCCCATGCTTGACATGCTCAGAGGCCACTTCAGAGGGGCCAGGTTTTGAGGCTTGCCAATGCCAAGGAACATGCTGCTGCACCACGACATGTGTTTTTGTTGTTTGTTTGTGTTTGTTTGTTTGGTTGGTTGGTTGGTTGGTTGGGTTTGTTTCTTTGTTTGTTTGTTCGTTTGTTTGTTTGTTTGTTTGTTTGTTTGTTTGTTTTCAGGCTCATTGAGCATGCTGTGTGCACGATGCTACTCAGGGTCATTGAGACCATGTTCCAGCTGTTTGTCACACAGCTACTTGGCAGAAACCACTCGGTGGCCACAAGCTTGGGAGTTTCTTCATGCAAGGCTTTGTTGCGCATTCGTTACCGTGGAAGTTTGCACTTGGCATGTATGGACCGCTGCCCGCTCGCAAGGGTTCGAAGGCCAAAATGGGCAATCGCATGCCGGTCCGTTTCTCCGGAGGTTTTGCCTGGGCCTGGCCATCGGCGTGGGGGGCCCCGCCTCAGTGACGCTGCTCACGGAGACGGCGCCCACGCGGTCCCGGGGCACGGTGAGCAACAGCGCCTCCTTCGCCTTCACGCGGCCCGGACGCAGCGACCGGCTTTTCAGGTCGACCGAGCCAAACCCCGGAGTTTCTTGGAGGGAAACCAAGAAGAATCACATTCTACTGGATCGTGTACAGAAAACACAGCAAGTGCACAACCATACCCCGCAAAACCTTGACAGTCGGGTTTCACGAGCAGTTCCAGACCCGTTTGTCTATTTGCAGCGGGCCAGCCGCACTTAAGCCTTGATTTGATGAAAGCATACAAAAAGAGTTGAATCCGAGACTCCAGAGTTTGCACTCATGGCATTTCAGGCGGAGTTCCAATCGGTCAGAGACTCCAGCGCCATTTTGCGGAATGTGCGACTCAGGTTGGGCGAGGCTTGGACTGCCTTGGGCCTTTTGCTCTTCATGCCGGAGCTGAAGGCGGGACAACATCTCTGCAAATCTGGGTGCAAGATAGCAAATAGGCTACCCATGCTTGTTAGTTTGCCTGAAGGGAAATACATACAGTCGGTACTCAAAAGCCCTAGCATCCAACAACGGCATGCCATGTAGAACTCGTCGACCCTTGAAATGGATCAGGGCCGTATGTCTTCGTTCAAAATTGCCAGAGTGAATCTGAGGTGAATCTGGGGTGAACCATCGCGAGGAGGGGTCCAGCCTTGGGTCAGTGCCACGAGTCCAGCTCAGGAGCCGGTTTGTGCACTACACTGGAGATGGGACCTGTCACCAGTTCCTACTTCATTACCCTAGCCTGTCGGCACCCCCACGCCTCGGTTGTCCGTGCCAATGCTGCTTGCGCGCCTTCCAAAGCAAATGCCATCCTGCAAAGCAGGATGCATGTATGTCACAGCAAGTCGCGCTTCAAGATCCACGGTTTAGGTAGCAAAACCAAGCGACAACGTGTGTGCGTGTGTGTGCTGCCCAGCTGACAAGCGGGGCTAGTGGGCAGTCAGCTCACGCCCTCCCCCATCTCCGTCAACCCCACCCCCCTTCATCGCGCAATTTCACAAGTCGGAAACTGCCAAATGGCAAAGGCCAGCCGCACCAGTCCAGTTATTTGCTCTGTACAATTTGCAGCAGGCTCAGCCGAGGCGCGGGGTGAGTATTTGAATTTAACAAGGTGATTCAAAGAAATTCAGAGGTACACGTGGGTGCTGCGGGAGAGGGTCCCATAGCACAAAAAACATCAGAGCCTGAAAAGATCTTTGCTATGGTCATAGGTGATTGTTGGAAACCATAACTGGTTGGGCCCTGCAAAGTTTTCTCGTAATCTTCCCGCAGCCTTCCCGCAGCACCCCTAGTCTTCCTGTTGTTTTCATGTGGGCTTCCCCTAGTTTCCCCGCGGGCAAAGAGCTTGTCCTGCTCGCCCTGAGCAAATTTGCCAGAGGACGGAAACATGTAAAATCAACTTTTCAGAGCTGTGTATTGGCAGAAATGGGCGGGCAGGCTGCAAGGTAGCGTTGCCGGGGACCCGGGATTCAAACGAGGTGGGGTGAGCGCCAAAGGCGATTTGACAACGAGGTGACGATTTGCATTTTGTAAGTTGTGCAGATTTGGTGGAAAAAGTGTCTACGTTGTCAAGGGCTACCTCTTGACTGGCTTGAGTCACCTCGGTGTTTTGGTCAGGGCTTCGTTGATTCACTCCATTAACACGGGGCATACTCGCGGTTTGTTTGTGGCCAGAGCTTGTTCGTGCTTGGCATTGCGCCAGGGCCCCTGGCGGCTACTGTGCATTTGGGGCGTGCTGCCCGCCTTGCTAGTGGCGCCATTCGGTATCCTGGCCGCACTGCTCAACTGACCGTCTCGGTCATTTGTTGATGGTTTCTTTCATGGCATGTTGGTCTTTGCGTCAAGTGGTGCGGGTGGAGCCAGGCCTATTCTGGCGCAAGCTCAATGCGGCTTATCACAAAGGGCAACGATGGTAAGATGAATGATACCCAGGTAGGAAGCTTATACAATTGAGAGATAGACGCAAACACAGGCGCACACAGACACAAACAAACTGATAGACTGATTGGCTTTATATGATGGAGTGCGCGCCTGCGTCTTCGGTTGTGCTCAACTTGATTGTTTTGATTGGACTCATTGAATGGTGGATTGGTTGACCGCTTGGCTGGTTCACTGGTTTGATTGATTATTTTACTAATTGACTGTTTGATTTGGTTGATTGGATTGGATTGGATGGATTGGCTGCTTCAGTGGATTCATTGACTTGATGGATGTGCTTTGCCTTGACTTGATGGACTCATTCATTGGTTCATTAGTTGTCTGATTTGATTAATTGATTGATTGATTGATTTGATTGGTTGATTCATGTGCTTATTTTATGTATTGATTTATTGATTATTCATCGATTTGTTGATCTATTTGATTCGTGATAGACTTATTGATTGATTGATTGCTTGATTGCTTGATTGATGAATTGATTGAGTGATTGATTGATTTGATTGATTGCTTGATTGCTTGATTGTTTGATTGATGAATTGATTCATTGATTCATTGATTCATTGATTCATTGGTTGGTTGGTTGGTTGGTTGGTTGGTTGGTTGGTTGGTTGGTTGGTTGGTCGCTTGGTCGCTTGGTCGCTTGGTCGCTTGGTTGGTTGATTTGTTGATTCATGATTGGTTGGTTAATTGGAACTGTCAAGCGATCCTTTGGCTGTCAACGGCCCGGCAAAGATATCTCTGAAGAAGGCACATCCGGCCCCCCCTAGGTCTGCTGGTGCATGAGTCACCTAGCTGGCTCCAGCTGCATGAGCGACACCATGAGCTGAGAGCGCTGCTGGCGGGCTCGGGCTGGGTTTGGGTCATCCAGTCCCTGATGCCTTCGAATAGAAAGCGATAAGTCCTGCGCATTTCCTCCGGTTCACGTTTGCCCCCCCTAAGCTTCTGACTTGGAAGTTCTTCGGTTGGCCGGCCCGGCAGAACCGGAGACCACGGTACCAAAGTGCTGATGTTCTGCTGACCTGCTTGGTCGCAGCTTTAGGGATCCCTGGTTACAGTGCTGGGTTTTGGGAGCGCGCCCTTTGCCGCAAGCTCAAGGCAGAGGAAATGGCAGGCCCATCTTGGGCATCTGTTTTGTTTCATGATAGGGTTGCGAGTTTAAGGCTGCCTTCATGAGCCTTGTCATCGATCGAAGCAAAGATACTGTACGACACGCTGCCACTGCTGTGGTCATGTGTTATTTGCCTTCAACCCAGGACCAGTTAGGAAATTTGTGTTTGCCCCAGCCTTTTCGTTTGAAGTCACCTTGTGCTTCTTTGTTCACGATTACTTGTACTGCCATTTGCCCTGAGCCCGCTGCGGAAGTGAAGGGGGGCGATTCTGCGTGATAGTTGCATATAGTGACGAGCAAGGTGACCAGGGTGTTTCTTGCGCCTAAGTCGTGCATTGCCTTTTAATGCCGTTTTTGAACTGTCAGAGAGGCTGTTGGAAAGGGTGAGGAACAACGTTGTCAAATTCGCCCGTGTACCGTTTTCTTCGTGGAAAGCAGGGCGAAGATGCAGATGTTGCAGGTTGGCGGCTGACTAGTTTCCGTAGCTGAATCCAACCAACTGCGCTGTGGGTTTCTACATGCTGTACACGTGATCATGGTTTGGCTATGGAGACTGGCTTCATGTTGGCCCGCCCAGAAACTGGATTCGCAATAAAATGCATTGCTTTGACAAGCACCCGATCGGGTGTTTGCTTGATTGTTTTCGGCGGTCCTGAAATACGGCGAGCTCCGGGGAAATCAAGAACGCAGGTCCTAGGGCAACATCTTGAGATGCCCATTCGTGGGCACGCAAGAGAAGCTCGGGCAGTTTGCCAGGCGAGCATCCGGCGGATGCATGGGAAGGACGAGGTGGATATTCTTGCGCCAGGGCGGCACAGAGACTCCGAATTAAAGGAGTGACAGGTGGGAATTGTGTGGATGGAACTGAACATTTGAAGCACCCTGTGGGTCATTGGAAAACAGCACCTGTAGATTTGCGGATGTTGACACAACTGGGGCAAAAAGCAAAATCCCCGGTCGAAGCCGCCAATTCAAATAAAGAGTTGGAAAACGGATGTCCAAAGCAAGAGCCAAAGGCTGGTCGAATCTTGTCTTGGGTCGCTGGGAACTGGCATGGCCATGTTCCCGCCCAGAGGTCGTTCCCTGGCCCGGAACGATCCTTGTCCTGGTCTCGAGGTGCAGCCCATGCTGTCAACGTCCAGCTCCGGAACCTTCAAGATCCTGATCCAAGGCGAGCACTGCAGGACGTGGGGCGAGACCGAGCTGATTGCAAGGGAGCTGATTGGGCCCCACTGTTGAATGGTAGGGATGATGCAGTCCGGAACTGGGCTGCCGTTGATTTGCCTCAAGCCCCGTTGCTCAAGCCGGTCGTTGACTTTTACTTTTAACATGGTAAAGTAACTGGGCCATTTAATGCGAAAGTTCCACAAGCGTTGTATTTTAACGCCTCCGGCTCAGGCCGCCGACATTACAGGCCTGCCTTCTTATTTGCGTCCCTTTGGAATTGTCCCCTTGCCCCCTTCCCCTCTGAGATTTTTGCCCCCCTTTCTTTGTTGAGATCCATTCCCCCTTTCCGCCCTAAGGCCTTTTCTCCCTCTGTGTTTTTCCCTTTTCCTCCCTAAGATGTTTTCCCCCTCTCCCTGTTGAGATCCTTTCCCCCCTTTCCCCCCTAAGGCCTTTTCCCCCCTGAGATCTTCTCCCTTTTCCTCCCTTTCCCCCACTTTCCCCCCTACGGCCTTTTCCTCCCTGGGATCTTTTCCCTTTCCTCCCTGAGATCTTTCGCCCCGTTTCCCTGTTGGAATCCTTTCCCCCCTTTCCCCCCTACGGCCTTTCCCCCCGCTGAGATCTTATCCCTATTCCTCCTTAAGATCCTTTGCCCCCTTTCCCTGTTGAGATCCTTTCCCCCCTTCCCTTTAAGGCCTTTCCAGATCTTCTCCCTTTTCCTTCCTAAGATTGTTTCCCCCCTTTCCCTGTTGAGAACCTTCCCACTTTTTCCCCCCTCAGGCCTTTCCCCCCCTGAGAGCTTCTCCCTTTTCCTTCCTTAGATCTTTCCCCCCTTTCCCTGTTGGCCTTTTTTCTCTCAGATCTTCTCCCTTTCCTCCCTAAGATCTTTTCCACCCCTTTCCCTGTTGAGATCATTTCTCCCCTTTCCCCCCTAAGGCCTTTGCCCCCAGATCTTCCCCCTTTCCTCCCTAAGATCTGTCCCCCCCCTTTCCCTGCTCAGATCCTTTCCCCCCTTTCCCCCCTAAGGCCTTTCCCCCCCTGAGATCTTCTCCCTTTTCCTCCCTAAGATCTTTTGCCACCTTTCCCTGTTGAGATCCATTCCCCAATTCCCCCCTAAGGCCCTTTCTCCCTCCGAGTTTTTCCCTGTTCCTCCCTACGATATTTTCCCCCCTCTCCCTGTTGAGATCCTTTCCCTCCTTTCCCCCCTAAGGCCGTTTTTCCCCCCGCGATCTTCCCCCTTTTCCTTCCTAAGATCTTTCCCCCCTTTCCTTGTTGAGATCCTTTCCCCCCTTTCCCCCCCTAAGGCCTTTCCCCTGAGATCTTCTCCCTTTTCCTCCCTAAGATCCTTTGCCCCCTTTCCCTGTTGAGATCCTTTCCCCCCTTTCCCTCCTAAGGCCTTTCCCCCCCTGAGATCTTCTGCCTTGTCCTCCCCAAGATCTTTTCCCTTGGTTGAGATCCTTTCCCCCTTTCCCCCCAACATCTTCTCCCTTTTCCTCCCTAGGATCTTCTCCCACCTTTCCCTGTTGAGCTCCTTTCCCCCTTTTCCCCCTAAGGCCTTTTCAGATCTTCTCCCTGTTCCTCCCGAAGATCCTTTGCCCCCTTTCCCTGTTGAGATCCTTTCCCCCTTTCCCCCCTAAGGCCTTTTCCCTGCCTGGGAGCTTTTCCCTTTCCTCACTGAGATCTTTCCTCCCCTTTCCCTGTTGAGATCCTTTCCCTCCTTTCCTTCCTAAGGCCTTTCCCCCCGCTGAGATCTTCTCCCTATTCCTCCTTAAGATCCTTTGCCCCCTTTCCCCGTTGAGATCCTTTCCCCCCTTCCCTTTAAGGCCTTTCCAGATCTTCCCCCTTTTCCTTCTTAAGATTGTTTCCCCCCTTTCCCTGTTGAGATCCTTCCCCCCTTTCCCGCCTAAGGCCTTTCCCCCCCTGAGAGCTTCTGCCTTTTCCTTCCTTAGATCTTTCCCCCCTTTCCCTGTTGGCCTTTTTTCCCCCAGATCTTCTCCCTTTCCTCCCTAAGATCTTTTCCACCCCTTTCCCTGTTGAGATCATTTCTCCCCTTTCCCCCCTAAGGCCTTTGTCCCCAAATCTTCTCCCTTTCCTCCCTAAGATCTTTCCCCCCCCCCCCCTTTCCCTGCTGAGATCCTTTCCCCCCTAAGGCCTTTCCCACCCCTGAGAGCTTCTCCCTTTTCCTTCCTAAGATCTTTTCCCCCCTTTCCCTGTTGGGCTTTCTTCCCTAAGTCCTTTTCTCCCAGATCTTCTCCCTTTCCTCCCTAAGATCTTCCCCCCCTTTCCTCCCTAAGATCTTTCCCACCCTTTCCCTGTTGAGATCCTTTCCCCCCTTTCCCTCCCAAGGCCTTTCCCCACTTGAGAGCTTCTCCCTTTTCCTTCCTAAGATCTTTTCCCCCCTTTCCCTGTTGGGCTTTCCCCCCTAAGTCCTTTTCTCCCAGATCTTCTCCCTTTCCTCCCCAAGACCTTCCCCCCCCTTTCCTTCCTAAGATTGTTTCCCCCCTTTCCCTGTTGAGATCCTTCCCACCCTTTCCCCCCTCAGGCCTTTCCCCCCCTGAGAGTTTCTCCCTTTTCCTTCCTTAGATCTGTCCCCCCTTTCCCTGTTGGCCTTTTTTCCCGCAGATCTTCTCCCTTTCCTCCCTAAGATCTTTTCCACCCCTTTCCCTGTTGAGATCATTTCTCCCCTTTCCCCCCTAAGGCCTTTGCCCCCAGATCTTCTCCCTTTCCTCCCTAAGAGCTTTCCCTTCCTTTCCCTGCTCAGATCCTTTTCCCCCTTTCCCCCCTAAGGCCTTTCCCCCCCCTGAGAGCTTCTCCCTTTTCCTTCCTAAGATCTTTTCCCCCCCTTTCCCTGTTGGGCTTTCCCCCCTAAGTCCTTTTCTCCCAGATCTTCCCCCTTTCCTCCCTAAGATCTTCCCCCCCCCTTTCCTCCCTAAGATCTTTCCCACCCTTTCCCTGTTGAGATCTTTTTTCCCCTTTCCCTCCCAAGGCCTTTCCTCCCCTGAGAGCTTCTCCCTTTTCCTTCCTAAGATCTTTTCCCCCCTTTCCCTGTTGGCCTTTTTCCCCAGATCTTCTCCCTTTCCTCCCTAAGATCTTTTCCACCCCTTTCCCTGTTGAGATCATTTCTCCCCTTTCCCCCCCAAGGCCTTTTTGCCCCAGATCTTCTGCCTTTCCTCCCCAAGATCTTCCCCCCCCCCCCCCATTCCCTGTTGAGATCATTTATTTCCCCCCTTTTCCGTCTAAGGCCTTTTCCCACCCTCAGTTCTTCTCCCTTTTCCTCCCAAAGAGTTTTCCCCCCTTTCCTCCCTAAGTCCTTTTCCCTTGAGATCTTCTCCCTTTTCCTCCCCTAAGATCTTTTGCCACCTTTCCCTGTTGAGAGCCTTTCCCCCCTTTCCCCCCTAAGGCCTTTTTTTCTCCCCACTTTCCTTGTTGACATCCTTTCCCCCCCTTTCCCCCCTAAGGCCTTTTCCCCCCAAGATCTTCTCCCTTCTCCTCCCTAAGAGAACCTTTCCCCCCTTTCCCCCCCAAGGCCTTCTCCCTTTGCCTCCCCAAGATCTTTTCCCCCGGCTGAGATCCTTTCCCCCTTTCCCCTCGAGATCTTCTCCCTTTGCCTCCCTAGTATCTTTTCTCCCTGTCCCTGTTGAGATCCTTTCCCCCCCTTTCCTCCCGAATGCCCTTTCAGATCTTCTCCCTTTTCCTCCCTGAGATCATTTGCCCCCGTTCCGTGTTGAGATTTTCCCCCTTTCCCCCCTAAGGCCTTTCCCCCCCTGAGATCTTAAGGCCGTTTCCCCCCCTGAGATCTTCTCGCTTTTCGATCCTTTCCTTTTCCCCCCCCCCCTGAGATCATATCCCTTTTCCTCCTTTTTCCTCCCTAAGATGTTTTCCCGCCATTCCCTGTTGAGATCCTTTCCCCCCTTTCCCCCCTAAGGCTTTTCCCCCCTGAGATCTTCTCCCTTTTCCTCCCTAAGAGCTTTTCCCACCTTTCTTTATTGAGATCCTTTCCCCCCTGTCCCCCCTAAGGCCTTTTCGCACCCTGAGTTCGTCTCCCTTTGCCTCCCTATGATCTTTTCCCCCCTTTCCCGCTTAAGATCCTTTCCCCCGTTTCCCCCCTAAAGCCCCCCAAGATCTCCACCCTTCTCTTCCCAAAGTCTTTTTCCCCCTTTCCCGTTTGAGATCCTGTCCCCCCATTGCCCCGTAGGGCCTGTTCCCCCCGAGAAAGATTTCCCTTTTCCTCCCCTTTTCCCCTTAAGGCTTTTTTCCCCCAGATCTTCTCCCTGAGATCTTTCCCCCCCTTTCGCTGTTGAGATCCTTTCCCCCTTTCCCCCCTTCATTTCCTTCACCAGCATGGGCAACATCCCCAGCATCACTTGCATCATCCGCATCCTTGGCAGGCGCTGATGCGGATCATACAGGTGATGCTGGATCCTTTCCCCCGTTTCCCCCCTAAGGCCTTGCCCCCCCAAGATCTCCACCCTTCTCTTCCCAAAGTCTTTTTCCCCCTTTCCCGTTTGAGATCCTGTCCCCCCATTGCCCCGTAGTAGGGCCTGTTCCCCCCGAGAAAGATTTCCCTTTTCCTCCCAAAGATCTTTTCCCCCCTTTCCCCCTTAAGGCATTTTTTCCCCAGATCTTCTCCCTTTCCTCCCTGAGATCTTTCCCCCCCTTTCGCTGTTGAGAATGGGCAACATCCCCAGCACCACTTGCATCATCCGCATCCTTGGCAGGCGCTGATGCGAATAATGCAGGTGATGCTGGCGATGTGCCACTGGAGCTGCTAAGGATGCGAAAGCGCACCCGGGGGGAATCGAACACCCCAACGTTTTTGACAAAAGCCCGCACAATGAACAGATTTAGTGAAGCGTCTTCGAATCACCGCGTGGTACGTGGACCCCCTTTTTCCGCAATAGTCTGAAATGGTGCCCCTGGGGAGGGGTTAGGGGAGGGGTAACAGGTAAAGAGGTAAGGAGCATTTTTTGTGTCCAACACGCCGTCTGTTGTCGTCGGATTTTTTGCGGCCGCGGGGCAAGTGGGGCCGACTTTTGCAAGGTTCTTGCAGCGGCTAGCTAGCCAACAGTGGCGAATTGGATTCGCCAAAATGCCTGTTTTCTACAACATTGGATGACAATTTACAGTCTCTGGTTTTCCCATGCTGTTGGTTTCCATTGGCGACATATCTTCTCATGTGGTGGCTCTTGGGTTGCCACCAGTCATTTGTAAAGGCTCGTCTTTTGTTTTGTTTGTTCGCCTTTTTGTACAGTTTGCACTTGGAGCAGGCTGTTCTTTGCCGGGCGAGGACCATTGGGCTGGGCTGCACCCTTGCCTTTGTCATGAACTACCTCTTCTTCGGGACCACGTTTGCCGCTCGGAGTAGTGTTCGCCGGTGCTCAAAGCCACGCCTTTGGATCAGCCAAACACCTTGGAAGAGTGTTGAAGTCTGCCATAGATGACACACACGTGCGCTTTGCCTTCTTTCTACTGATCCTATGTTCTGCTTGATTTACCTTTTGAGTTTGCGCTTTCCAGCAGACCGCACTTTCATCATAATTGTGCAATCCTCATATCTGTTTAATCTGCAGGTGGCGATTCCGCCATATGGCATTTTCCTTTGGCGAGTCGACATGTTCGGACCTAACTGATCGATGCATCAGTTCACTGATGCCGTCCGTATCTGAGGCATTTACACAGCAACTTGCCTGGATTCTGCATAAGTGGCTGCATTCTTGTTTGGGAGCCTGCTGTTGTCTTAGGGAGGACAGGCCAAATTCTAAATTCCCCACTAAAACCAGAGTTACAATTGATGTGCATTTCCCGTGGCTCATGAGCTGGTCTGTCAAGAGAAGGTTGGAAACTATATCCTTGCTGGAGAACTAGGCTTCCCATAGCATAAGTCCCAGGTTTGGGCACGTTCTGACCTGGCACTCGCCAAGCCCATACTGATATGTGCTGACTGGGTCGAGAATTGCAACAGAATCTTCTTCCATCCAAAACGATTGGTCGTTTCCTGACATCCTATCAATTGCTGGTAAACTCGCATGGAAACTGAAAAGCGCCCACTTGGGGGTGCTCCATGCCATGCCAGTCTTCAGGGACAAGCCTTCTTGTGCTTGTTGCCATAGTTGTCTTTTCGCGGTCAGATGTTGGTGGCCAGCATTTCAAAGAGCTTTTTGCTGGGGCCAAGGCTACGCCTAGCAACCCCACCGAGCAACCGACCGAAGCACCCACCGACCAGCCAACCAACAAACCACCTCACTCCAAGCCAACCCCACCCCAACCACATCCCAACCCAATCCAACCTCGCCAATCAACCATCTATGTAGTCAACCAGCCAAGCAGCCAGCCAGCAAGTCGAGCCACTGGCAAACCAACCAGTGAGTCAGCCAACCAACGCAAGCCAAACTGAACCGAACCGAAACGCCAGCCCGCCAACCAACCAACAAAAGCACCCACCAACCAAACAACCAACAACAAATCGAGCATGTTGAGCCCCGTCGCCCAAGTCGCCGCAGCAGTCCCCTTAAATCTCTTCGTCATCTCTTCGTCCGGGAGACACTTTGACTCACTATTCCACGATTGTTTGTGGCATATGAATTTGCGAATGGTTACGGAGGGCTATGATTATATGGGTAGGTGTGAAAACTCTGGTTAATTTCAAGGGACACTGACATGAAGCCAGCCGCTTGGATGTGTATCCAGTTTCACTCAGGATTTTCGCAGAGGCAGAGGGAGACTGGACATCTCCATCCATGGAGATGCTGGTGGTGGCAGCTGCAGAGCTCGGCGGGATCTTCTTGGCCTGGTTTTTGCTGCTGCTCGGCTTCCGAGACGGTTCCGACCAGTCGTTTGAAAGACCATGAAATACTGTCCTGGTTTGGAATACGGATAATAGGAGATTCAGGAGTTGGCATAGTGTTGTTATCTTAGCACTGAGATAGTCGAGGGCCCGTTGCTTTCTCCATCACTGGACTTGGAGTTGCTTGATTTGGAAAGGGCCTGGCTGTCCAGGCAAAAGCGCTTGGAACATCGACATATTGTTTCAGAATATATTTAAGGGCTGCCGCCCAGTGCCGCCGACCCCCGGATTTAGTTGTGGTTTTCGAGCAAAAGAAAACAGTGCCCTTGGTTTTGGTTTCTTTGGTTTCTTTTGGGTGAAATGTTAAATTTTCGCCCCGGTCAAATTTTGGTCTTGTTTTTTGGTTTCACTGTAAACTTCAACCCTGCGTACTTGAGTCAGGATCAGACCCCACCCCCCTGGATGATGATGGACGACGTCGATGATAATTATCATCGTAGAATCCTCTGCATTGCCAATGCTGTCTAACGTTGCTTTTGAAATGCATATAAGAACAAGAAAGAGAGAATGATGACCATCAGGATGGTGATGAGAAGAGTGATGATGATGATGATGATGACGACCATCATCATGATGATGATGAGGAAGATCCTGATGATGACTGTGATGATAACTATCATCGTAGCATCCCTTGCATCACCAGTGCTCCCTAATGAGAGATGATGATGACCGTGATGACAATGATGATAAGGATGAGGCCTGTGATGAAAACTCTCATCGTAGCATCCTTTGCATTGCCAATGCTGTCTAACGTTACTTTTGAAATGCATATAAGAACAAGAAAGAGATGATGATGACCATCAGGATGGTGATGAGAAGAGTGATGATGATGATGATGACGACCATCATCATGATGATGATGAGGAAGATGCTGATAATGAGTGATGATGATGACCGTGATGACAATGATGATAAGGATGAGGCCTGTGATGAAAACTCTCATCGTAGCATCCTTTGCATTGCCAATGCTGTCTAACGTTACTTTTGAAATGCATATAAGAACAAGAAAGAGATGATGATGACCATCAGGATGGTGATGAGAAGAGTGATGATGATGATGATGAATCATCATGATGATGAGGAAGATCCTGATGATGACTGTGATGATAACTATCATCGTAGCATCCCTTGCATCACCAGTGCTCCCTAATGATAGATGATGATGACCGGATGACAATTTCGTGCGATGACATCATTGCATTGCCAATAATTGAAATGCATATAAGACAAGAAAGCAGAGATGATGACCAACAGGATGGTGAGAAGAGTGATGCTGGCTTGCATCACCAGTGCTCCCTAATGAGAGATGATGATGACCGTGATGACAATGATGATAAGGATGAGGCCTGTGATGAAAACTCTCATCGTAGCATCCTTTGCATTGCCAATGCTGTCTAACGTTACTTTTGAAACGCATGTAAGAACAAGAAAGAGATGCTTGATGACAAGAGTGATCATGATGATGACGACCATCATCATGATAGTGTGATGATAACTATCATCGTAGCATCCTTTGCATCACCAGTGCTGCCTAATAAGAGATGATGATGACCGTGATGAGAATGATGGCAAGGATGAGGACTGTGATGATAACTATCATCGTAGCATCCTCGGCATCACCAGTGCCGGCTAATAAGAGATGACGATGATAAGGGTGAGGACTGTGATGACAACTATCATCGTAGCATCCTCTGCATTGCCAATGCTGTCTAACGTTACTTTTGAAATGCATATAAGAACAAGAAAGAGATGATGATGACCGTCAGGATGATGATAATTATCATCACTCCTTATTATCATTATCATCACGGTCATCATCATCTCTCATTAGGGAGCATGCTACGCTGATAGTTATCATCACAGTCCTCATCCTTATCATCATTGTCATCACGGTCATCATCATCTCTTTTAGGCAGCACTGGTGATGCAAAGGATGCTACGATGATAGTTATCATCACAGTCATCAGGATCTTCCTCATCATCATCATGATGATGGTCGTCATCATCATCATCCTCACTCTTCTCATCGAGGCATCCTCTGCATTGCCAGCGCTGTCTAACGTCACTTTTGAAATGCATATAAGAACAAGAAAGAGATGATGATGACCATCAGTCATCATCAGGATCTTCCTCATCATCATCATGATGATGGTCGTCATCATCATCATCACTCTTCTCATCATCATCCTGCTAATGAGAGATGATGATAAGGATGAGGACTGTGATGATAACTATCATCGTAGCATCCTCGACATCACCAGTGCCGGCTAATGAGAGATGATGATGACCGTGATGATAATGATGATAAGGATGAGGACTGTGATGATAACTATCATCGTAGCTTCCTCGGCATCACCAGTGCCGGCTAAAAAGAGATGATGGTGACCGTGATGATAATGATGATAAGGATGCTGCGGCTAGTAAGAGATGATGATGATGACCATGATGATAATGATGATAAGGATGAGGGCTGTGATGATAACTATCATCGTAGCATCCTCTGCATTGCCAATGCTATCTAACGTTACTTTTGAAACGCATATAAGAACAAGAAAGAGATGATGATGACCATCATGATGATGATGAGAAGAGTGATGATGATGATGATCAGATGCAGCATCGCTCATGATGATCATGATGATCCTGCTGATCATCACTACGCATCTCCAGCATCACCAGCAGTTACCGTGATGATATCCTGATGACAATCATCACTATGCATCCCCTGCATGCGCAGCAGCTGTCATATCAATCATGACTAAAATGCATCACTGCATTCCAAGCCGGGTTGAACGGCAAGCTTGAAACGTAGAATGCTGATGATCCGGATGCTGCGGCTAGTAAGAGATGATGATGATGACCATGATGATAATGATGATAAGGATGAGGACTGTGATGATAACTATCATCGTAGCATCCTCTGCATTGCCAATGCATCTAACGTTACTTTTGAAATGCATATAAGAACAAGAAAGAGATGATGATGACCATCATGATGATGATGAGAAGAGTGATGATGATGATCAGATGCAGCATTGCTCATGATGATCATGATGATCCTGATGATTATCACTACGCATCTCCAGCATCACCAGCAGTTACCGTGATGGTATCCTGATGGCAACCATCACTATGCATCCCCTGCATGAGCAGCAGCTGTCATAACAATCATGACTAAAATGCATCACTGCACGCCAAGCCGGGTTGAACGGCAAGCTTGAAACGTAGAATGCTGATGACCCGGATGCTGCGAACCCATCACCCAACATCAGTGGTGCTGATAAACATCACGAAGACAAGGACGAATACAAGCCCTTCCCATGCGCCTCCCTTTTGGAGAAAGGGGTCGGCGGATAATGCGTGCCACTAAGACGTCTAATTTACACATCTATATTGAAAGAAGATGGTTGTGGTTCAGCTCCACCAGTCGTATCGGTGTTGCCCACAAGAAAGCAGGACCCTCGCCTTCTTCACCTTTCTCGCCGACAAGTCGGCAGATCAGCAAATGATCCATTTGCGTGTTTTATTATTATTATTATTAAACAGCCGCGGCTCCGGCCCATCTCGGGTCCCGATGGGGGGCGTCGTTCGATGTCGATCGCCGTGTCGAGGTGGCACCCAAAGATCGGCCCGGGCCCCGGCCACGAGTGAGAACGCAGTCCTGGCAGTGCCTCAAAGTCCCAACGATCTCACAATGTGCTTTTGGGCCACATGGTGTCCATCCCAAAGGCTTGTCGTGTGTTGAGTGAACCGCGTGGGTGGCTCCAGAATTCGGTATCGACATTTATGAACTTTCATGGCTTCCCCAAAACACTTCTGGCCAGAAAACTGGTGCTTGTTTGGTGATGGCCCTCTGAAGCGGAAGATGTCCAGCGGAAATATCACTGACTTGTCATCGCATCTTCAACCTCAATGTTCCCCCGCCCGATCCCTCGATAGATCCGATGGATGAAGAATGAAGGGCCGTTGTGTTGCTGATTCCTTGTTTTCAGGAAACCCCCAATCTCGTGCCGTGCCCCGAAGGCCGCATCGCAGCCCTGCGGCTCCTTTGCGTCTTCAGCGCGATCTTCAGCACTTGCCTGATCTCCGTGGTCTACGGCCTCTTTGGGATCGCGGACCCAGCGGCCTACGGCCTCAAGGCGAGCAGGGCGGCTCAAGATGTTAGGCTTTTGGGGCAAGTTGAGGCAAGCGTTTGGGTGGGTGGCTGAGTGGCTGGCTGGGGTGGTAGGTGGGCTGATGGGCAGGTTGGTTGGGTCGGTCGGTCGGCTGGTTGTTTGGTTTGTTTGTTTGTTGGTTGGTTGGTGGTTTGTTGGTTTGGTTGCTGGCTGGTTGTTGGCTTGTTGGAGGCACAGGACGGCATCAAGATGGCAAGCAGATGCTCACATTTGACTTCTGCGCCGTAAGCGTTCAGTGCCCAAACGAGAGCAGCCAGTGCGATGTGTGCTGTAAAAGACTCCCTAGCTTTGGGTAAGCAGGGACCACCCTGAACTTTGAGGGAGGTCTGTTAATTACCACCATGGTTTTGCTCCATGCCATCCTACGTTTGACCGTCGTATGTTTATGTGCTTGTTTGTTTCCTTGTTTGTTAGTTTTACCGTGTGTGTCCTGATTCCTTTTTGTCCGCCGGCCTGCAAGCAGGGGTTGCACTTTGGTGTGGTGTTCTAGTTTATGACTTTGACGTGCTTAGATCCTGCGGTCAGTCGTGCTGAAACTGTTTCGTGAGCCCCTGTTCTTTCCTGACGCAAGTTGCGCGCGCTAGGCAATGGTGAGCGCCATGTTTCCAGTGCTTTACCTCTACGTGTCAGAGGTGCTGCCGGCTTCTCGGTCTGCAAGCCAGAGAAGAGCTAACACTCACGCTTGCAATCCCCACAGCCACCTCGTAAAAGTGCTTGTTTGACTTTCAGCCTTCGCAAGCAATTTCTTCAAGTGCTTCTCCCTCATAGATTCTTCCAAGTCTGTAAATCAGCAAAGATCATGGAGACATGGTGACCGGGCCAAATTCTTCCATGCCTTTAGTTTGTCTGAGACATAGGACATTCCTGCTATGCTCTCGCAAGATTGGAAAGTTGCGTTTCCCAGTTGCCCCTGCCATGTCCAGGACTGAAGGTCGAGTCAAATCCGGAATCAAAATCCTTGGAAAGACCCTCAAGTCGATTGGCCAACCGGGAAACCAATCCGAGGCCGCCCGTTTCATCTCGCGGATCCCAGGTGGCGCTGCGGGCCAAAGGCGTGGGCTTCTGCATGAGCCTGGGCCGTGTGGGCTCCGTGGCGGCCGCTCGACCAGCCGATGGGGAAGCGCTCTGGGAAGAGACCTTCATGGGGAGCCATGTACAGGGAAACCATGCAAAACAGCAGCGCTCCCCGTTCATTGTGGTTTAATGTTTTGGAAAGAAGAAGCGCTCCAAGCAATTGTGGAGGGGGCGCCCTTGTGCAGGATGAGGATTTCCTCCTTGCACAGTTTTAGACGGAGACACAAATTGTTCAAGTAGACAGGAGGATGGACAGTTGCGGGGAGCTCTGATTTTTCCTTCTCATTTTTCACACAGACACAGACACACACGCACACCACGTTTAATTTTGCGGAGCTCGCCAGCCCTCGAGCGACATTGCGCACAGAGCTTGCTTTCGGCGTGGGTGCTTCCAGGCTTCCGGCTCGGTGTGTGAAGTGCTCGCGTAGCCAAAGTCCTTGAGACCCTTGGACTCATCTGGAGTTGTCAGTTGTCAACACGTGCGTCGCTCGCGTGGAATGTCAGAGCCATGAATTCTTAGCAGGGTCATGCGAGTCATGCATGTTAGTTCAATGGATGCGGTTTTGGCTGCCCCGGTTCTTTCAGGTTAGTTCTCAAGTCCAGGGGATTTGGTTCTTCTGTTGGGGGTTTGCTCGGCAAGCCAGAAGTTCTGACGTGTTTGAGAGAGGAGCGAGCCAGCCAAACAATCTACGCCCGAGGTTTTCCATCCTTTCCTTTTGATGTTCCGTCAAGCAGGGTGCTGTGTGTGTGTGTGGGTGTGTCTTAATGGAGAACGCAAAAGCACTGGAGATTCCCAGAGTCCACCCACAAGTGTACCGGGCTCCGTCTCGAACTAAGCCTTCGGGGCTGGATTCGACGACTCGTTCTCAGGCTCCCGCGCTTTACGCGGTCGGCAACCACATGGTCCACAGCGCCGGCCCTTTCATCGCCAGCATCTTGGAATCATATGGGCGTTTGCTTGGCTGACTGCGTGGGATCGCGAGCCATGGGAGAGGTTAGGCCAAGGGGTTGCGGAGCATAACCTTTGCTGCGCCTCGTGGATATCATGCTTGCGTTCTGTGCAGCAGGGGCTTGCCAGACTCGCGTATCGCATCTCAGGCATGGTGATTCTTTCTGCAGCAGGCAGGCTTCCATTTTCAGGATTTTGAATATTTCCCCTTTGGGTGGCGCTGCAAACATCGCAGTTGGGTTGGGCCACTTTAAAGTGGAGTGGTTGGCAACCGCGATATTGGTGCCTTTGGTTATTTGGCAACCGGATAGACTGAAGAGCTAATCTCTCGCCCCGTCTCTGCGCCAGGTTATGTTGCGGCCAGTGTCTTTGCTGCAGTCAGTTGAAAGCGACTGAGACAGCGTGGGGAACCCTCGAAAAAAATATGAAAAAAAATATTTTTCCCTGACATGCGTCCTGCCTTGCATTCATGTAGAGGGAGTCGTCAGCATGGCTTCAAATACGAGATTTTTGTTTGCGTTATCCACAGGCAGCTAGAGCCAAAGGCATTTGCCAAGATCTTTGCTGGCTTTTTATTTATGTTTTTGGCTCGAGCCCAAACTAAACCTAAACAAACCGAAACAAGGAAGCCCAGTTCCAACTGGGGCAGCTAGGTTTTGACACGTGCTTTCTCCCAACAGTGGCACCCGCAGGCCATCTGGTGGTGGAAACTTGTGGCAGACCTCTGGACACGCCTTGCCTGGAGATGACAAGCTGCGGGAGAGAAGCCAAAAGCAAAGAAGCAAAGTCAAGGCTTCGGCTCAAAATCGGCGCAGGTTGCTTTGAGGTCCAAGAGTGAAAACTGACAGTCCTGACAAATGGCCTCCAGCTTCACAGGCCAACTGTGTCTCGGGGCCTTGTTTGCTTCAAGCCAGTCGAAACGCGTGGCAGGAGCTAGCTGACGCGGCGCGACGTCTCAGTGGAGCAGCTCTACAGCCTCAAGTCGATGCAGTCGACCGGACGGACGTGGTCGGCCCCCAGCCAGGGCGGAAGATGACACGCCGCTCGAGCAAGGCGAAGTGAGTCAGTGAGACGGGCTGACGGCTCAACACATGCTCAACGCATGGCAGACTGATGACCCCTTACTCCTGGCCTTCGGAAGGGGACGGAAGGCAGACTGGCAGACACGAATGTCCCCTTTGACAGGGCCGAGATGGCCTCAACTGGCTGCCCAAAGCGAACGGCGGCCTAATTCGATTGCCAAAACCGCTGCAAGAGGCGCGTTATGTTTTCCCTAACTCTTTGCAACACATTGCCTCTTTCGAAGCACCGCAAGAAAGCAAAAAGCGGGCTAGGCTGTGGTAACTTGGATGTTTGTTCGCTGCCGGTTGCATGTCGCTTTAACAGCACCAAACACCTGCACATTGTTAATCTACATTAATCCGGTACCTGTCAACAGTGCTGTCACGCAAACCAGAGCCGTTGTCATGTTGCCACCTTTGCCTGCGGCATGTTTTGAAACTGAACCTCGCTCTTAGGAGTGGCAGCCCGGGGCTTAGTTTGGACCATCGCAGATTGCTTGAAAGCTGTGACAGTTGCGGGGGGCTTCGCGGGTCAGTTTCTTGAGAGGCTGAGTTCTCCCAAACGAGATTGGAACCCTTCTAAGCTAAGAAAGGTATGAAAGCTTTAGTCTGTCTTGCACAGGTACCCACGTGGCGACGCTGCGTGGCAACCTGCAGGGGATGCTTCGAGCGCCTTGCTGGCACTAGGTGTCCTTTTAGATCAGGCTGGTTGAAATTCAGTACGTCATTCTCGCATTTGTCGTTCCAGAAGAACATGCAGGCTCGTTGCATACTCTTTTCTGTTGAAACCATCAATGGATGCGTTTGACATGTTCCGCGAGCACTCTGCGCGGCATTTGATAGCTCTCAGGTCAGCCTCCAAGGTGGCTCTTGTGTGGAGTGCCGGGCTTGTGGGCGATGGGCAGCCATGATGATAGGTTCCGACTGATGAAACTGAGTTCCTTTCTTCCAGACAAGCTTTTGACGGGAGAGATTGGCAAGTTTGTTTAGCGGTGTCCACCACCTAGAACCAATGGACTTGCACAACAGCGCCAGGTTGGCGGTTGGTTCGACGCTAAAACTGTGCCTTGGTGTTGCGCATGTTTGTTTTGCTGTTCGGCTTGGGCAGGCTTGGTGTCGGAGTGTTAAACAAGCGCAACTGCACAGCACATGAAAATGCTGTGTGTGTGTGTGTGTGTCAGCTGCCAACTTGTCGCACTGGCCCTGGACTTACCAGTTCAACTTACAAGGGCGTTGGCTGAAAAGGAGAACTGCGCAGTCTTGCTAACTGTTGGTTTGTCCTGTTGTTCAGCCAAGCCTTGCTCTGCTTCTTCTTTTTTTTGCGGGACAACGAAAATCTGCCACCATGCTGTTTTTTTTTGTATTTCTGCGGGACGAGTGACTGGTTTTTTTCTTGTCGATGGGGCAAGTCCCATGCCATCGCACGCGTTCTTTGTAGCGTGAAGTGGTGCCCAGGCTGGGGCATGATGCTCTGCTGGACCCGGCGCTCAGCCAGGCTCCGGGTGGATTGCGGAATAAGGGGGAGATGGATGCGCAGAAATGCACACGCCCTCCTTGCAACAGTAGAACAGGAAGGCATGTGAGGACGATGGATTCCTACGCATTCAATTAACTACAGGGGGATTCGCTACACCCAAATTGCTGACTCCCAAAAAAAATGGGGTGCGAAACCTTCGCAACCCCATGGCCCTCAGCCCATGTCAGCCTGAGCAACACAGCCAAGTAAGTTGAAGCAAGTGATGCCCGCTTTTCGTGGCACGTGTTTGTCCTCCTGTCAGTGCCTGTTTTCACCTAATACCTGCAATCGTTTTTGGAAAGCGTGTTTGAAACTGTCTTCAACGAAGAACATATTCCAAATGCTACAGATTTGAATGAAGGGAAGATTTGTGCGCACCGATAGCAAAGGGTGGCGCAAAACGGTGTGAAGAGCGTGCTTTTTGAAGACGAGGTCAAAGGGGTCGGCGCAAACATTGATATCAGAGCTAAATATATTGCGCTTCATCGAATTTCTTGAGTTCTATGTGACGCGGAAACGGGCTGTCAACAGCGTGCCCCCAAATCAAAGAGAGCCTTGCCCCGAACAGGACCTGGGTAGACTCCTCACGGCTGACTTGAAGGAGACCTGCTCGCAGTGCTCGGTCGTGCCAGTTTCCAAAGCCCAGGCCTCCAGCGGAGCTCCTTGTTCTCTCCTCGATTCAAAGTTAAGAGACCAGGCGCCCACCAAAAAAGGAAGTCTGTTCTGGGAAAAGTCGACCTGTTTGATCAAAAAACGGGAAGCCATTTCGTTCAGCACCTTTGGCAAAAAGGAGCTCGTCCATGATCAGATTCCCTATTTCCGGTTTGCAAGATATAGGATTTTGCCCAGATCCTGTCTCTCTTCTGTTTCGGCAAAGGGTTTTCGCCCCCAAGAGGCCTTTCTTCTGCCGTCTCGTCCAGGACGCTTCCGGGATGCCAGCAGCGTTCTCAGCGAGTGCCAAGGACGACCCCTTGAAGATTCCAGTTGGCAACGCGCATTTGCCTTGCATACACCCATGCCCACGAGCGTGAACACACCCACACACACACACACACACACTTCAACTCCCGAAGGAGGGATCTCATCTTTCGAGTACAACCGGTAAGTTTCGAGTGGGTAGGTTTCGTGTGGCGAGACCGATCCCCTCTAGAATCGAAAACGTTACCTGGACAAACAAGAAGCACACACAGCGGGCGAAAGAACGGGCCAAAAGGACTTTAAGTCACTGATGCAGGTACGTCAAGCCCCTGGCACCCCCTGCAAAGGTGAAACGGGTGGTGACAGGGTATTTCTGTCACTCCGCACACACACGCCCTTCTATGAAGCAAAAGGTCCCGAGCGGCGTGGTGATCGGGAGGAATCCCGACCCGCACGAACATGCTCAGAAGACGGGGTCCAAGGATCGCCGCGATGCGAATAGGTGGAAGAGGTTGAGGAGATTGATGAAGGAGCTGTCGAATGCTGTCAGAAGCAGCGTTGACAAGGTCGCCGGGCAGTGAGGTGACGGGGTCATCCGTGTCCGTGATGTCCTGAGTGCCGATCTGGTGTGTGTGTGTGGAGAGCAAAGGACTTGTTGGTAACCTTGCCAATCCTGGATGGTCCAAGCCTCATGGGTAGAGTGTTTCGTTGTGGCCAGGCATCTTGTTGATGTTGTCCATGAGGGCCCGGCAGTGGATCACCTTCAGGTAGCACAGGTTCCCACACCCTCTACGCGTTGCTTGCCAGAAACGGTATGGCATTACTTTGGTACCAAGTCCGCACTTCTCCAGGCATGAAGATCTTGACCCGTTCTTGACCGTGCCATTGGGAGTACTCCAACCGGTCTTGATGAGGATCACGAACAGATTCTTCACGTTCCACATCCATGACTCTAAGACACAGGACGCGAAGGAATGTCGCTACGCCAAAGTCTCAACAGCTCAAGCAACCAAGAGCAAAGAACAACGCAAGAAACAAGGCACATCAAATACTGATCAAGCCAAGCGCAGAGAACAGAGACCTTTTTGTCAGCCAAGCACACAATGAGTCACTCCATGTCATCGTCAAAAACAGATTTTGTGAGAGAGGAAGCACTTTTTTGGCCGGGTGGACGATCACATCCGGCGCCGATGTGGAACTCCAAGTCGGCGAAGACTGGTTGATGTCCGCGCAAGGAGGATGCTGATGCATCCTGTTGTCACGTGCCGCCACCTCAAGCTGCTTCTGAATGCAATCCTGAAGGCGCGTGAGGTCGTCAAAGGAAAAGGCCGCTGAGTCGGACGATTGAAGCATTGCTTCCAGTAGTTGAGGACAGACTTCCACCGTAGATGATTGTGTCGCAGCATTACGATGCTGATCATGGCATTGGCGCCCAAATGGGCACTACCATGAATGCACTGCGGTAGGTGTTCCGGCCGCATGGACTTGTTTGGGCCACTTCCACTCCCTGCAAGCAAATTGAGGCGGCCGGTCATCATTGAAGCCACTTTGCATCCAGGGACCAGGACGAAAAACTGTAAGCCATTGAGCATCAGGATGTTGAGGATCCGGGCACCATTACGGCATGATAAGTAAAGAAAGGGCGCAATCAAAGCATGTCACAAACAGCTGCGTCAGGCATCAAAACCGCATGAGTGCAGAAGAAGCATACAACGTCAAGCGATGCAAACCAACACATGTGACAAACAACAAGCGAAGGCAATTTCGTCATGCTGAGGCAGGCCTCGCCGAAACGCCGAGTCAAAAGTTGGCGGCGAAGGACTTCTCCAAGCACCGTCAAAAACTGAAGACCGATGAGGAGATAGTTGACCCACCCATATTTCCAGCGTGAGGGCCTGGTAAAGGTGGTGACAACAGATTCCTGCAATATCCCAGCTGAACGTGGCATGAGAAACGGACTGAGGCAATGAGTCAGGAGCGGTTCCTCCAGTGCTATCCCGCGGCCAGTAAACCTCGAACTGTTAGCTTGCGCTTTCTCGATGGGTTGTTGGCAAGCCAAAACGGTTTTTTCATGGTCCAGGCATGTAAACCCGAACCCACTCACACACGTGGTCCCCAGACCAGCCCCAAATGTTATACTCAAAGTATCGCGAAAGCCCCCATTGTCCAACCACGGTAGAATTCAACATGGCTCAAACGTACGGGTCAAGCACACAATCCATACGTGTGACAGACCGAAACATCTGGGGTCAGAATCAAGGCCAAATTCCAAACCATGCAAGTGCAATGCAAACGGTGACAAGAGGCATGGTCAAACGGCACAGCATTTCAAATGTGCGTCAACATTTGTAGGTTAGGAGGCCACTCACTGGTGTTGTTGGCGATGAGCCCAGCACCGGCAACGAAAGTGACCATCGCAGCGACGGACGCATGGCGCGCGACACATCTTGCCATCGATGAGTCTGGCATGACAAAAATGTCCGCAGGAAGGAGACGTAGTCCTTGGAGTCCGCGATCTTCCGGGCATGAAAACTGTGCAAGTATAGCCAGATTCGGCCAATGCGACGGGACTCCTCCAATGTCAAGGTCTGCCCGAATGGATGCCGAGCTGTATACGCACAGTTGGGTAACTGTTGAGGTGATGGCGGAAGCGGTGGCGGAGGTGGCGGCACCTTGATTAGTGCATCCCAAAAGTTGGACGAAGCCGGCGCAGGAGGTGGCAGTGGTGGTTGAAGAGGTTGAAGCGCATCCGTTTCATGCGCTGGTCCGTGGTATTGCAGCTGAACACTTTCATCCATCATGACTGCAAATGCAAAAAGGCAAACCAAGCAAGACATGAAACGCAGAAGCACAGGTAGACATCTTCCACCATGCTACGGGCTAAGCGACCAGCTTCTGGTATACTTTCCAAGCATGCTTCGCCTCCTCCGTATTCTTCTTCAACTAGGAAGCGATGGATTTGTATGTAGGTCTTGAGCCCTTGTCAGTTTTGCGCTTAACCAGCTTGTCCAACTCCTCCTGAGTCCATGCCACGAAAGGTTCGGAGTATGTGTTCCTGAGCGCCACGTGTGGGATAGCAGGCGAAGGTCGAAAGGATGAAGCGTCCTGATCAGGAATCATCGGAAGCAGAGGATTAGGGTGAAGTAACCGTCCTGGCTTGGTCGACTGCGAAAATGAGGTGGAGGATGGAACGGTGGAGGTGGCGTGGGCATGTAGTTCATCTGTGCGGATGGCATGGGGGTTCTGAGGCACAAATGGTGGATTGGCAGAGTTTTGCCAGCCCATCGTACTGGACCAGTCATGCACATGATGCTTCCTGGTCTCTTCCTCACGCTCTGCACGTCGCCGCACTTTGCAAGGCGGAGTGTAGCTCCTGTCTGTTCGTCGCCGAGGCCGGGATCGATCACGTTCTTCACGGCAAGGCGTGGCAATTAGATACACAGGTTCAAGTCACAATCAAACTTGAGCACAAGTAACCAGGCTAGCGCACAACCAGGCATGGAGGATTATCCAGGAGCGGCCGCAACCCGAGCGAAACGGTCCATGATCGGATGGCTGTCTTCCCTGTAGTCAAACCTCGTGTCTTCTTAAAGGTGAAATTCCGCTGGTCTATGATCAGAACGTCAAATTTTCCGGGAAGACACAATGGGTACACCCGAGGCTCCCCCGAGACGGGGTAGTCACACTTCAACCCCAGAAGGAGAGATCTCATCTTTCGAGTACAACCGGTAAGTTTCGAGTGGGTAGGTTTCGTGTGGCGAGACCGATCCCCTCTAGAATCGAAAACGTTACCTGGACAAACAAGAAGCACACACAGCGGGCGAAAGAACGGGCCAAAAGGACTTTAAATCACTGATGCAGGAACGTCAATCTCGCGTCCGAGATTGATATCACAGGCAAGAGCAAACGTCTTCGTTGGTGCCAGCCTTGCTCTGCCCCTGACACCCCCTGCAAAGGTGAAACGGAAACGGGTGGTGACAGGGTAATTCTGTCACTCCGCACACACACACGCGCGCACCCTCGCTCACCCGTGTGTTCGCAGGCAAACATAGACGGATAGATGGATGGATAGATAGACAGATAGATTAAACCTTGTACTTTGTTTTCGTTTTTGTTTGGTTTGCATGATTGATCAGGCAAAAGCTCAGGTCACATGTTTTCCTTTCAAACTGAGATCTTTTCAAGGGCCAGTTAGGGAATCTCCAGGTGCTGAGCCACGCCGCGCGCTGTGGGGAGGTGGCAGCAGTAGGGGCTCTGCTGGACGCGAAGGCGGGCGGACAGAGTTGCGGCCCGCAAGAAAGCCGCGAACACTACATCAGGTGTTGCGCCGATGGCGCTTGGGAGGCCACTGCTTTCAGGACATGCGCTTGCTGGTTTGGTAGGGCTGCAGAAAAGAGCGTTCAGGGTTTTCCTTGTGTCGAGATAAACCCACGTGGTTGCTCTTTGGTTTGACTGAAATGACAACTTTTCGAACCTTTCAGACAACGGTTGTTCGTGCGGGAGCAAAGGTTCGGGTCAAAGCCCAACCTGGACCAAACCCGCCCGATTGCCCAATAACAATCCAATTGTCCTTTAATTGGTTGGGCTTGATTTTCGACTCTTTCCCGGTTCTTTATCTCGCTTTTGCTTGCACGGACACAATTCTTGGCAGATCTCCTGTCACTCGCCCATCCGAAAATCCGAGAGACTTGTCAGGCAAACGTGCACGCCAGCGCCTGAGAGCCCCAGCCTTGCGCTTCTCTGAAGCTGCAAGTTCCCGGAAGCAGGGTTCGCCTTCTGACGCTCCACCTACTAGGAGGGGAGGTAGGGGCGCGCTCTGCCTGCTGCAACGAGACGCAAGAACAGGACCCTTCTTGCTTGGGCGGATGGTCCGGCGGGTTGCTTTGCCGAACCCATTTGGGTGCTGGAAAGACATTGCCCTCTTCTTGCGCGACAAGCGCGGATGTTGTGATCCAGGAAGTCCCCCGCCACCTCAACCTGTTCCATTGTTGTGAACGCGGGATAGGTATCCTCTTAGCTAGCCCTCTTTGCCGCTTCAGACCGGTCATGGCCAATCCTTGAGGCAAGAGATGCCAGCCTGTGCCAGAGACCTAGAGGTTCACGGGCAGCACTCCGGACAGGCATTTGCTGCGTTGGCTTTTGTTGGCAGTTCCAGTTGGGAGGCGGGCAAGGGTTGTCGTTGACTTGGAGCACCTGCGATTCCAAAATCAGCCCCTTTTGTTTGGCCGGTGCCTTGCACCAAAACATCCATATTCAAGATGCGCTGTGGTTCTTGATGGCGTTTCAGTGGCGTGCCAACCATGAACGCTCGCATGTCGCCAGCTCACTGCAGGTACAGCGCTGCATTACGCAGCACACGAAGGCCATGTTGAGGCCGGTAGATGTTGCTGGCTTCATGTTGCAAGAGGGGGCTAGCTCTTCGTTTCTTATTGTTCATGGGCCCAAAGTTGCACTTGATTGACTGGCCGTATCTTGTGATACCGGTTTTAGAATTACAAATGGGCCAGATGCTGTTTTCGCGCATGTCTCTTTCATGTCACGACGGTGATTGCAAGGAAGGGTTTGCCGAACCCTATTGAGCCCCCCAGCCTCGGTATGCCTCAGGAGGTCAAGAAACATCAGGTAGCCGAGGTTTGTTGTCCTTATCAGGCTTTGGAAAGATCATTGGCGTCGGCGTTTTAGTGGGGAGGCATTTTGGAAAGGCCGTTGCAGCGAGGTTGTCCAACACATACAATGTTTCTCATTTTCATGCTGATGTCAGGTCGCCAAAGCCTTGCTGCAAGCTTCCGCCAGCGCGTTCGCTCGGAACTGCAGCGGCCTGCGCCCTGGAAGTTGGATGCTCCTCGCGTGCGGAAAGATGGCTGAGCTCGGAACATGATCTTGTTAAGGGTTGAGTTTGGGTGAGGCTGGCAGTGGCTGCAACAAGTTGTTTGAGGAAGAGCTTTGCGCTCTTGGCGACGGTGATGCGCTAATCTATAGCAGTGTGGTGGAACTATCAGATCCCACTAGAGGACCATAGCCCTGACTTGCTCAAGGCATTTTGACAGCCGACTTTATGGAAGGTTGCCAGGCTGCTACCTCGGTGACCAAGATGCGGAGTATCTTGCGCGTCAGTCATGTTTTTGCATAGAAAGCTGCGGGATAACCATGCTAGGATTTGACAACTCTTTTCAGCATCATGCGGGTAATGGGTTCTCGCGACTTGAAAAAGCTCTTGAGTTTGAGCTTGGGTTATATCACATGCTTGAAATATCTCTAGTAGCTCTGGTGGTTTGCCACGCTGGGCTACGTCGCCCCACCACAAATGCATGGATGGATTGCTTGTAGAAATCGGGATTCCCTTGCCAAGATCGTGGATTGGTAAGGAACCGATCACGGCTTGTCTCAGGAGCGACTCCGCGGGATGTGGCCATTCTTAGGCTGGGGATCCGGACTACACCCCCAACAGCTAGCTTCCCACGAAGGAGAAGGGTTTTCAGGGTCAACGACTTTTGCCCGCGTCTCGAGTGCCACAGCTGGCAATGGATCACAGGCTACCCCGTGCCAGGTGGGCACCCCGCATCCCCGGCGAGGGGGAAGCCTTCGAAGCCGAGGGCGGCGCCTGGTCAGCACGGTTCGCTCAAGATATCAAGATCAAGCACTGAGTTCCTCGTCAGTTTCGGTGCTTTGTGTGCATCCGTCACAGCCTTGAGGTGCGCGATCCGCGGGCCACGACTTGCTGCAGGTGTTTAAAACCTTTCGCGGACAAAAGTGTTGAAGAAGCGTGTACTGCACTGTATGTTTGAAATACGAAATCTGCATTTGCAGAATAGATCGTTTTCAATTCAATAAGAGGTTGAAAGTGGTTAATGATGATATTCAAGAGACCTCGTTCCGACTTCCCCGAAAACAAAGAAAAGAAAAATGTAAGAATTGGCGACACCAAGCAATAGATCTTAACTTCCATCAAACATATTATTTTAAACCACAAAACCGGGGTTGTCGAATTTTCAGGAACCTAGGAAAGTCAACTGCATCTGATTCAGGGCCCATCCTTTCATTTCCAAGCGTCGCGAAACACATTCTTACAAGCGCCTTTTTCGCGACACGAGTAAACAGGGCAGCAAGGTTCCTGTTCTTTTGCAAAAAGCCGGTGTGTCACCATTGCTCCATGTCTACTATCCCAAATCCCAAACCCTAAGCCAACATCTTCAGCTTCTATTCCCAAAATGTCTTTGTTCGTAGAGCCAAAAGTCCCACATAGCTTTAAGCAAGGTGCCCACAACTTGCAGCAGCAAGTAAACATTGAAGTCAAGAGGCCGGATGGACCTATTGGCGCCAGAAAATGACTTGCATAATTGCTTGGCAGAGCGAAGCAAACGCCCAGCAAGTGCTCTCACCATGCTCCAAAAGCATGACCCAACAAAGGACCATTGCAGAATTGGTTTCTTCCCGTTGGCATCCACCAAAAAACAAGTGACTGCGGTGACACAGTCAAAGGGATCAGCTTGCCACGTGACCAGCTTGCAGGGAATAAGGCGGATCGACAACAGCTGGGGGCCGGAAATCACGGAAATCGGTTCGGAAGCAAAGGGGTCATTCCCTTTTTGCCTTCCGCGAACAAGCAAGACAACATACATGGGTCATGATGGGTCATGGGCGTGTGTCAAGAAGATATTCGAGAAAATGATGCTCAGCCGCATTTTGACAACATGCTCCAACATACAAAAGCTCAAAACGGTGCGACCGGCACTTACACTTAAGCAATCTTACGCCGGGGCCCAAGTCCGCTTTTCGCTGGCAGACGCAGGGGGCCCAGGCTTCAAGAGACAAAAACCCACTCGAAGCCATGTTTGATATTGAACTGTCCGCCGACATTGTCCTCTTCCTTTTCTCCTTCCTTTCTCTCGTGTCTCCTCCCCCGTGCGTTCTGTCGTGCCCATCCCCCCTATCTCCCCAAGCCTCTCTCTCTCTCTCTCTCTCTCTCTCTCTCTCTCTCTCTCTCTCTCTCTCTCTCTCTCTCTCTCTCTCTCTCTCTCTCTCTCTCTCTCTCTCTCTCTCTCTCTCTCTCTCTCTCTCTCTCTCTCTCTCTCTCTCTCTCTCTCTCTCTCTCTCTCTCTCTCTCTCTCTCTCTCTCTCTCTCTCTCTCTCTCTCTCTCTCTCTCTCTCTCTCTCTCTCTCTCTCTCTCTCTCTCTCTCTCTCTCTCTCTCTCTCTCTCTCTCTCTCTCTCTCTCTCTCTCTCTCTCTCTCTCTCTCTCTCTCTCTCTCTCTCTCTCTCTCTCTCTCTCTCTCTCTCTCTCTCTCTCTCTCTCTCTTTGTTTCTCTCTCTTTGTTTCTCTCTCTTTGTTTCTCTCTCTCTGTCTCTTTTTTTTTTCTCTCTCTCTCTCTCTCTATTTTTTTCTTTCTTTCTCTTTTTTCCTTGTTTCTCTCTTTTTCTCTCTCCCGTTGTTTTTCTGCTTTTTCTGTTTCCCTGTCTCTATGCTTTTTTAGAAAACTAGACCACGATTGGCCCGAAAATATAGCATCGCAAACGAGGTCGGCCTAACGCTGCAGGATACGTTCTTTTTCCCTCCACGATACATTCGTGAAGCAAGCGCGAGATAGCGCTAGGTAAGGTGCTTTGTGCAAACTCGTCGGTGTAAGTTGGTCTGCGCAAGTTGCTCTATGCAAGTTGCACTGTGCAAGTTGCTCTGCGCAAGTTGCTCCGCGCAAGTTGCTCCGTGCAAGTTGATCCTTATAAGTGGCTCCCTGTAAGTTACTCTGTGCAAATTGCTCCGTGCAAATTGCTCCTTGTGAATTGTTCTGTGTAAGTTGCTCTGTGTAAATTGTTCTATGTTGCTCTGCGCAAATTGCTCTAGGCAAGGCGATCTGCGCAAACTGGTCGGTGCAAGTTGCTCCGCGCAAGTTAACTTGCTTTGCATAAGTTGCTCTGCGCAAGTTGCTCTGCGTAAGTTGCTTTAACATGCAAGTTGTATCTTGCGACATTCGCCCACGGACTAGGGAGGAATCGAACCCGGGAGTAGGCGCGCGAACCATGAGACAAATCCCGAGGCCTTGCTCGAATAACAACAGTCATAAAAAACCTCGAGTTTTTGCACCTCGACCACGCCGATTCCCGCAGAGGGTTGCGCGAGCACCGCAGAAATCGCAAAAAACCTCCAGTTTTTGCACCTCGACCACGCCGATCCCCACAGAGGGTCGTACGGGATTTTTAAAAAAAAATCGCAAAAAACCTCGAGTTTTTGCACCTCGACCACGCCGATCCCTGCAGAGGGCCGCACGAACATATTAACAATCGCAAAAAACCCCCAAGTTTTTGCACGACCACGCCGATCCCCGCAGAGGATTGCATGGGAACTGTAGAAATCGCAAAAACCATGGGTTTTTGCATCTTGACTACGCCGATCCCCGTAGAGGGTATGAGCCCAAACAAAATCGCAAAAAATCTCGAATTTTTGTACTTCGACCACGCCGATTTCCGTAGAGGGTCGATTTTTGTGTAATGTCGTCGATATTACCCCGCCGCCTTAAGAAAAAAAAGTTAACTCTTCGTAAATTAATTGCAATTAATTCTTTGTATTTGCAACTTGTACTCGACTCCTTACACTTGCACTATATACACTTGCAACTTGCATTTAATTCTTTGTACTTGCAACTTGTATTTACAACTTGCATATGATTCTATGCATTTGTAATTCGCACTTGGCTCCATGCATTTGGCGCCTTGCACTTACAACTTGTATTTAACTCCATACATTTGCAACTTGCACTTGACTCCACGCACTTGGCTCCTTGCAACTTGCAGCGATCTTCATGACTTTGTGGCAATAACTCCTTACAATGAATCCTTGTTATGATTCTTTATAATGATTCTTTGTAATAATTCTTTGTAATGATTCCTTATAATCATTCTTTGCAATGATTCCTTATATTGACTTTTATGATGATGATCTCTTTTCATGACATTTTCATATGTGTTTTGAGCACACCATTAATCCAGGTTTGTTAGGATAATGAATCTTATGAGAATAACTCAAATGAACCCAGCGGAAGAATTTTTTATTATGCTTTTGGAAAAAAATGAGAATATTTTTGCTTTAATCTTTTTACTTGAATTATTTTTGTTGTTGTTTTTTTTTTTTTCTTTCGCTCTTTTTTTGTTGTTTGTTTTTGTGATTTTACTTTCTCTTTATTGTTGTCTGTTCTTTTTTTTTATTATTGGTAGAATTGTCGAAGCCGGTGGTAGAAGTTTCCAAAATATAGAAATAATAATCTCTTTTCTTTGATTTCTTGAGTTTTTTTTTTTTCTTTCTTTTTCTTCTTTTTGATTATTTTTTATTTCTTCATTATTATGTTTTTTTCTTTTTTGATTTCTTTTTTTTTTTCTATTTGTGTTTTTTTTTTCGTTATTTATTAATTTCTATTTATATAGTTATCTCTCGTGTTAGCTATTTTGTCCATTTATGTATTTCTTTATTAATGTTCTTTAATTGTCTATTTATTTCTTTATGTTTCTTGTTTTTCCTTTTTATGTTTCTATCTATTTATTTATCCATTTCTATTTCTATCTCTTTTTATTTTTATGCATGTATTTATATATTTCTTTATTTATTTATTTGTTTGATTATCTATTTATTTATCTTCTATTTATTTATTTAGCTATTTATTTTTATTTCTTTATGTTGTTTTTCTTTTTTTCTGTCTATTTATGTTTTTATCTCTTTTATTTCTTAATCTGGTATTCTCCTCTTTTTAGTTTTTGTATTTATTTATCTCTTTATATATGTTTTTGTGTGCCTATTTGTTTTTCTTTTATGTGTTTATTTTTTTATTTATTTATCTGTTTTTTTTTATGTATTTGTGTATTTGTGTATTTTTCTATTTATATTTGTATTAATTTATCTATTTTTTGTTGTTTTTATATATATTTATTTATATACCTCTTTATTTATTTATATATATATTTATTTATTGATTTATCTATTTATATATTTATTTAGTTTTTTATTTTTGTTTTTCTTTCTCTATTTCTTTCTTAATTTATCTATATATATATCTGTGTATTTTTCTGTTTTATGTTTTTTATTTTGTTCTTTGTATATTTATTTATTGATTTCGTTTTTTGTTTCTCTTTTTATTTATTTATTTTTTTTGTTATTTTTACCAGCCTGGGAAAAAATTTTAACCCGGCACAAGACCCCCAAACAGTGATAGGCAGCGGTCACAATTTATTGTGTTTATTTCTATCTATGTGATGTACCGGTCTATCAATATGTGCAGTTATGTATGTATATTTGTTTATCAAGACCAATTTGCACCTAAACAAGCAATGTCCTGTCCTGCAACAAAATATTGACAATGAGTGATACTCTGGCGTTTGACACGACACCTCACGTTGTGCCTGCTGTGAAAAGGTCCAAGCTACACCCTTGCTTGAAAGAGCTTTTTGTGCAGGTTGCACAAAAAAAGTTGGCGACTTCTGTCTGTGAGCTTTTTGCGCAGATTTGTGTTTTTGCTTGATGTTGAAATGCGTTTTGATTGCGCAGGCTTGACACACACAAGCAGACGCACACGACCATGGCTGGCTTCGACACGTGTCTGCTTGCGCGTTTTAAAGGCTGCAGCTTCCTGACTAGATGAAGGAAAAGACTTGGTTGGGGGCCA